AGGTCTGGGAGCATGAGAGAGAAAGGATTAAAAAAATAAAGTTCTGAAAGACTTTATGGAAATTAAGATTTTTGCGGTTTGACTACTCATGCATTGCTGTCTTACCCAGGGAGTCCATCTGTCCATAGTAAGAAAGTAGATCCTGGACAGGAAGGGAAGTTGGATTCATCCAGCTGAACCTCACTGAGATGACCACCTTACAGTCAGACAGGAAGCAGTTTAGCACTTAGGTAGCAGTGGAGGGAAGAGCTGATACACATACAGGAAGAATTGTTACTCTGAATTTGTTTCAAAAACATGCAATGAGAAGGATCAAGGGTGGGTATAGGAAACATGGCATTCAGGAAGCTCTACGCAGGGCCTACCTCAGGACTTTGCCCAGGGATTAGGAAAGACACTATTGCAATCTCTAAGTGTTAGTTCCACCCTCCCTTGGGTGGGGCAGGGAACCTCCCCCTTTCCTGGGGACCACCCTGTTACATAAGGACATTATGAGACAAGAGTGAACAGTGCTTCTTTTGGACACCACACAGAATTCCCACTTGAAAATTAAGCATAGACACGGAAAAGAAGGGCTATGAAAAGAGAAATAATTAATGACCCAATGACATTGTTTGAATCCTTGGATCCAGTTGTTCTTGAAAGGAACCCTGCATTTTTGAACTCTTAAGTCAAGTGAGCCAATAAATCTCTTTTTGCATCAGAAAAACCTCAAATCCAAAAGAAAAAAAAATAAAAAATGGGTAAAAGAATTGAAATCAAAGAGGATATTGTTGGCAAATAATCACAAAAAAGATGCTCTACATCCTTGGACAATGAAAAATACAAATTAAAATGCAAATACCACCAAATATCAATCAAAATGGCCAAAAAAAACTCAACAATAATAAAACAAAACATAATACTAAATGCTATCAAGGATACAAAGTATTGAAGGTCAGAATACAAAATAGCATCAAAATGTTGGAAAACAGTTTTCAACCAATAGAAAAGTAAAAGTGCATGTGCATACAAAAATCTGTATGTGAATGTTTCTAGAAGCTTTACAACAGCCTAGCCTAAAACAATATAAATGTTCATCAACTGGCAAATAGGTAAAATAAATTGTGGTAGATCCACAGTGGACACTACTCAGTACTAATATGGAACAAAGTGAATATAACTAACAATATGGGTGAATCTCAAAGTCATACTAAGTGAAAGAAGGCAGACGCAAAAGGATACATATGTACAATATGCTACCATTTAGGTGACAACCGATAAAGCCAAAACTGTAGAGATTTAACAATTTTTTATCTAAAATTAAAAACATATAATGGCAAAAGCTTAAAAATACAGACACACACACACACACACACAGAGTACTTCACTGTGATTATCCTCATAACATCACGTGTGGTAGATATATATTTTATAGCCATTTTATAGATAAGAAAATAAAGGTTCAGAGTGACTATAAAACTTATGCAAGGCAACAGTGAGGGCATGCACTGACATTTGAACTTCGGTCTCTGTTGCTTCACACATCTTATGGTTTTGTTTTTTGGGTTTTTTTTTTTGAAGTACTACACTAATAACTCAACTGTCATCCTCAACTTTTGGAATACTTAATTCAGACCTCATCTAGAAAAATTTATAAAGACATTTTGTAATAAATGATTTATAAAAAAAAGTGAGAAACTTATTAATTTTTAATGTTTACATTGCTTTACATGGTGTTTGAGATGCCATGGATATTGAACTATTTGTGAATGAATAAAGAATGACCTGCATTTCCTGACAGGAGAGTTTAGCACAGAATTTAAAAGGAATATACCTTCCCAAGATTAACTATTGAAAACATTCTTCCCTTGCTTATATATGGCACTAGAAGTAGGTGTGTCTAAGAAAATAAGGCTTCTTGCAGTCAGATTTTCTAGTATGACAGTCTACTAAGCCTAGGTATTCACATGGGAAAAGAACATAATATTTCTGCCTCCTTTTTTCACAATGTAAGAATCAATCAGGTCATGGATTTGAAAAAGTCCTTTGCAAATTATAAAGCAATATAAAATTATTCTCAAACTATTATTATCATCTATATCAAGTTATTCAGATTAACAGAACTCTTTTTGTCCTCAAAATTTTTATCTAAAAGATAAAAGATTTTAAAGATTCCCTTTCATTAATGGACATGAATATTTTATAGCAATGTTTATTTACAATGTTTTAACGCTGACAACAAAACCCTAAAGACTCAAGAGTTGTATGCTTCATAATCAGTTTGTAGTCTAATGGGGTACACAAGCTTCTCCTTCTGGCAGTAAAGACAAGGACAAACAAACAAAAAAAACAGCTCACAAAGAAAGCATAATCTTTTAAGTTGATTGTTAAAAAGTTTCCTGCTAATAATTGGTATTTACATATAGGAATAACTTAAAGAACCAGTTTTTTTTCTTTTCAAAATACATTCACCATTTGCTTCCTAGAAACTATCTGTTGTTAGTATGTGAAAATAGCTATCAGCTAAAATATTCAGAAGATAAAACATTTTCCTATTTCCACATATTATTAAAGAATTAAGGCATTTGAGTTATAAAAAATAACAATAGGCTTCCTTTGACTATACTTGTATTTTCAAGAATTTTTGTTAAAACAATTAATTGTGTATTAAAATATGTAGGGATAAGAAAATGTAGTGAAGGTGTCTCATTATAATTTCTAATTTTGCAAAAGAAATGCCAGGGTCATGTTTGGTTACACTTTTTTTTTTTTTTTTTTTTTGGCTCTGTCTCTTGCACAACATCAAATAAAATCAACAACCACCTGTGTAAATAGTTATTAATTCCTTTAATAACTTTATGTTGTGTGCAATAAAGTAAGGCAATTAAGTATCACTTTAAATAAAATTGGGATTTAACTGTGAAGGGATTCAGAAAAGACCTCACCAAGGTATCAAATGGATTTTCTGAGTTGAAGGCAATCAAAAACCTGCAGGTTCCAGGCCTCCCTGATGGCACAAGGGGTTAAGCACCATCGCACTGTGAAGCAATTCACGCCTCTGCAGCACAAGTTCGATCCCTGGCCAGGGAGAAACCCACATGGCACAGTAGACCTCTCCTCACTCGCCAGCTGCTCCCCTCAGCAGTGTATTTCAAGTGAGCTGCCTGTTCTACTCCCTACTCTGTCTCTGGTGAATCCTCTCACCCCCCTCCACCCACACCTCTGGCCTGTGCCCCAGCTCTTGTGTGCATAAATAAATAAATATTAAAAAAAAAAAAAAAAGAACCTGCAGCTTCAAGATAAAACATGCCTTTCTCTTAACCACCTAAGATAATTTAAATGGGGGAGGGGGTGGCTTTTCCATAATGAGTTATTATCAGAAATAAATTTTTGTGACCTAGCTGTATGGGAGGACAGATATCTAATTGCCAAACATCTGCTTTGCTTTTCTTATTATCCTGTGAATTACCCTCTTCTGGAATGACCTCCCCAGGGCCCTATATTATCCCTTGGCTCAAGAGGACATATAAAACTTCCCCCTATACCCGTCGTTTTCTTTGCACCCCCTTATGTCTGTGAGTCCCTATGTAGATTCCCAGGAGGCAAGATATTAAATGCGCTTTATGTCAGGGTAAAATTTAATAGGTGGAAAACTAAGCGCCCCCCCTCCTCCTGCCAGTTGGCAGGTATGAAAGGCTTGAATTGATGAGGCACTTGATATGGTAGCCTTGGGAACAAGGCCATGAGACAGACCACCATGACCAGAAAAACCAGCCCAGCTCTAGGATGCAGAAGCAGAGGCCAGGACACGAGTTTCTGTGTCAAAAGCCAATATCTGAGACCAGACATCCTAGCAGATAACTGGTGTAAATTGGTGCCCCAAGTTAGCCTAGGAATACAGAATGTGCGGGCCTCAAACCCTCATTCCGGATGAGCCTTCTCTGATCCTGCCGCTGCTTCTCTTAGCAGCAGTGTATTTCCATAAATCCATCTTTTCTATTCTCCATTATCTCCGGTGAATTCTTTCACCGCTCTCCTCCATGCCCACCCCCATGCCTCTGGCCTCACTCAGTATTTCTCCCCACTACACTTTTCTCCTGATAACCATCAGAAAGAAACTTCAAGGGTAAAGAAAAAATTTTCCTCTCTTAAAATCCTTCAAAGCTACCAATTTAATTAAACCTCTAAAAGGCATAAAGTTTAGAACAAGTCTGTGTTCCAACTTAAAAACTTAAAATCTGTTATATTTCAATAAAATGTTCACTTGGGATCAGTAATTTTGCTTCGCAATGATTTTATTTTGATGGGGGGGGGGGGGAGTGTACAACTTCATGCAACCGCCAAGGCTGGGAAATCTAATGACAACAGACTTTAAACGGCTTCAATTCAGCAAAGAGATCCGTTTAACGAGTATGTCCTAATCGTTTTAAGAATAACGTGAAGCCACATGTGATATAGGAACTCCACTTAGAAATTCATTTCTCTATCTTCAAAAACGCTCATTTACGAAAACCCAGTGAGATCAAGAGGGTCGTTTTCCTTTACAAATAGGCGACAAGAGTCTCCCTTGAGCTCGAGTTTCTCCCCGCCGCATATTTTAATTTGGGGCATAAGGTAATACTTCATGCTAAAAGCCCACTTTGACAAAGCAGGGGGGAGAACTGTTTTATGTCAAGTGAGTGGCGCACTCAACTTTCGAAATTTGCTCAGTCTCCGACGCCACTAGTAACTCCGAGGGAACCATTCCCAGAGCGTTTTGGCGGCTTGTTAACCAATTCCTAAGGGCAAGGACCAGCTAGACCTCCAGCCAGACCAGAAGCAGGAAAACGACCATTAACGAAAACTGTTACACACAGCAGGCACCTTCCCAGGCCAGACAACGGAACTCGCCTCTTTTCCGCCCAGCTGGCGCGGGGCGTCGCAACGCCCAAGCAAGGCCCTCCCGCTCCCAGAGCGCCTGCGCAATCTCTACCGCCTCAAACCCTTCCGCAAATGGTTTTGAAATTATTGCCACGTCACGCCTTACTTTAAAAAATCTCTAGGAACGACAAAGCACACTAGAGCGACCACTCACCGAAGTGGCCCTAAAGGCAAGCGACAGGATTTAAGCTTCCTCTCGCGACTTATCTGGTGCTGCCGGAAGCGGAACTCCTCGAGACTAAGCGCTCAGGAGCCCTTGTGGAGCTTCCGTCAGGGAACATCTCGGCGGACCGTTTGACTGTTGCCGGAAATCCTTCCGCCCGGTGCGCTTTCTGTGTGAGACCAAAGCAGGAGGGGAAGAGGCGTGACTCGAGATTCGAGCGATGTAGTAGTGCCTTGCAGCACCTCTCTGTGGCCCTTCTGCTGCACCGACGACGGAAGACTCAAGTCCACGCCGCTGCTGGAGTCTCTCGACTAACACCTCACCCCTTCCCTCAGGACTAAAAGGCAAACCGAGACCTAAATGGGCTTGACTGCTTCCTGCAGCTCGCGTGACAGTCGCAGCCTTGGCAGGTGAGGACTGTGAGACCGAAGGAGAACCCGATACACAGAACCTGGTCGCCCGAATTGGCGACCTCCGCGGGGCAGTGGCTTTGTCTTCTGCTGCGCTCTGCAGAGCCCAGGCACGCGCTCCTACCTGGGGCATGTGCCAGGGCGATAGGCTGCGTGGACGGAGGAGTGACAGTGCAGCCCCGAGGGTGCTTCCGCGCTTTCATTTCCCTCCCTCCGTCTCCTCCCTTGCCTCTTTTTTCATTTCTTGGGCTGGAGAGACCCGAGATATTAGCTCAGCTGAAATAGAACTGGTACTTCAGACCGCGGTCTCGCGCCACTGAAGTGGGCAGCCTCGAGTTTCGGGACTGCTGTGGGCAGAGATGGCTATTTTATTTTTTCATTTTCAGTCTTTCTCGCTCTGCTATTCTCTACCTCCACCCCCACTTCAAAAGAACAAAAAGCCCCATGCGTTGGAGCTTTCCAGAGTGAGGACGGAGGCTGCAGGCCATTCGATTGGAGTGTTGCGCCCTCGCACGCTTTTGAGGGAGAAGGTGGCGAGGGTGATGACCGTAGAATCTCATTCACTGTGCTCTCGACGACTTCCTGGGAGTTTGCGACCTTTGGAGTCCTGTTGGTAATACTTGGCCTTAGCTTGTTGAAAGGCTTAGCAGTGGAAGTAGGAAGCATGGCTGACTTTAGTGCCCAGCATCCTTACTGTACACTTGGATAGGCAGGGTTTTGTTTTTGCTATTGAAATTTAAAGTTTTTGTTTCAGGCTGGTAAGATGACGACAACGGCCAATAACTGAGTTCTTATTTGTTGAGCCAAGTGGTTTTCATATCTAATTCACTCCTTTCAACAATTCCATGAGGCAAATCGGATTATTCTTCTCATTTTACAAAGGTAGGAACGAAGACCCAGAGAAGTTACTTAAATAGCCCTAGAAAACTTTTGCAACTAGTAAACGTTTGAACATGTGTTAGAGAAACAAATTTGTCATGTTCCAAGATCTGTATTCTTAACAATTATAACCGCTGTTTTCTCACCATTATGCCTCGTTGCTTCTAGTTTCTTCACTAGTGTTTTCAGGGTTGAAAGCATTCAATGATTTAAAAAATAAAAAAATATTTGGTGTGCCTACTTACTTCTCTGATGAAAGACAAATATATTCTGTTTTCATGGAGCTGCAGTACTGTGTTGCAAATTTAAGTAGTTCGGAAACCAAAATATTATGCTTACTATAGCATGGATTTGTCTAAAGTGAGTGAGTTAACTAATGTGCAGAAGGTTCAGATTTGTACAATCACAGCTTGCTGTTTAAATTTTAAACTCATATGACTTGTAGGATGGTTGTGCAACTATGTGAGCAATTGATAGAGCATTTATTGATCACCCAAATAAGTGTTATGCACCCATTAAAGACTGGAAATATAAAAATGAGTTCCTTGTTCTTCAGAAGTTCCCACACAAAACTATATATAAAGAGTATTATGGAACTATTTTTATTTAGTGAAGATGATATTGTGGTTATGTAAGAAGGAGATGCATACTAAATTATTTGGGGATTAAATGTCTTGATGTCTACAACTTAACAATGGCACAACGAATTTATGTGTATATGTATGTAAATGTGGTGAAATATTAGTATTTGTTGAGTGTCGTACTGGAAAAATGGCTGTGTATAGTGAACTGTTCTTTCAACTTTTCTGAAAATCTGATTTTTTTTTCTTTATAAAAGGTTTAGGAAAAGCCTAGCACTAATGGAAGCAAATCATTTTATAAGTAGACCCCCAAATGCTGTGGCCCATAAGAGGTGCTAATGTATTTCTGGGAACTGGGTAGAGGTGTGGTAGACTTTCTGGTTGATTATTATAGAAGAAATAGAAACTTTCAAGAATGTTATTCTAAGTGGTGGAAAGGGAAGCTCAGCAAAAAGGTACTGTTCGAAGGTTCAAAGAAGGAAAAAGTCAATATGATGACCCTTGGAATTTGGCTTTTTTTTTTTTTTTTTCTTTGTATAAATGTTAGAAAGGTTGCTAGGTTGCCTAATATAGCTGTAGCAATAGTTCAGTGAATGGAGGCACCTTTTATAACAATGTTTCCACTGAAAAATGCTCTGAGGATTTCAAATTAATTGGTTAGGTGTCTGTAGACAAGTTGAGTAGCAGGAACTGTTGCTCCCATTTCAGCTGATTTGGGGAGCACCGGTTTACTAGTTAATAGCTGGGTTCGTCAGGGAACCTATACAAAGGGCTGCAGTGACAGCTTGGAAAGACTAAATTCAAGTTGTTGGTGGTTTCTGAATACTGCCTGCGGCTGATGGATGAGTCAAGGTGTTATTTTAAGGTTTAGACAGCTTTGTCAAGACTAGTAAAGGTATGACTTTATCTCAGGCAGTGTTCAAGGTAGTCTCAAGCAGTGTAGCAGTAGACTAGAAAAGAGTTCTCCAATAGGAATGGTGGTAAAGAGGAGTTTATATTGTATAACAACTTCATTAGATGGGAGGTAAGTAGGTAACATTCTAAATTGAATTGTTTGTTTGTTTTGTACCAAACTAAATGTGTTCCTAAATTTAGGTCATAGATCTCCTTCTTAGTTATAACAATAGCTAACAAGATATATAAAGAGCCAACATTTACTGAGTGCTTACAGATATGCTAATTATTTTGATGTCTGCATTGTCATTTAATCTTCAAAACAGTCTATGAAATTTATAATCCCATTTTACAGATGGTGGCCAGAGAATTTCAATAACTTGTTTAGGGACATAACTGGCAACTATCAGAACACTTTTTAGCCCAGTTTTGTCTAAGTCAATATGGTTCTTAAAGTGTGATTCCCAGACTAGCAGCATCAGTAGAAAGTCAGTGTATTGATTCTTAGCCTCAGACTTTTTTGTTTATTATTTTAATAAGCCCTCTAGGTGAATCCCATGTATGCTAAAGTTTGAGAACCACTCTTTTGAGTGTGGACACGTTAGTAGCACAGTACTAATTTCAACTTTAAAAATCCAGGATTAAGTAGCATTTGTCTTTTGCATAGATTTAAAGCAATTCCTAAACCTGACTACACATACCCATTTGTTAAAAATCTAGATTCTCCACTTAAGAAATGTTGCTTCAGAAAATTTGTGGCAAGTCTAATAAAGGGTAGTGCCCAGATAAATCTGATCTAGCAGTCCATTACTATTGCTATAGAAGGAATCTTCAAAACAAAGAAAGATTCAACTCTGATTTTTAAATAATGTAATATCTTTAAAACTAAACAGTAGTTGGAATTCAAGATCCAGGATTTACTTTGATCAAAATGCTAAATAATGTAGCACTACTAGATGCTTAAAACTATTTTTAGTGTAGTTTTCAGGGTTTCAAGTGAAATAGCATACTATGAAGAATGTCCTGGATCTTCTCTAATGTCCATAGGATTTCTCATGTACCACATTTGGGGAGGAGAAATAAAAATCGGTTTCATTCCATACTTTTAGTTTTCCAAGAATTTATTAAATACCTGTAATGCTCTGATAGGTAGAGGCCTGAGTTTGCTCTTTGGAGAACACGATGGCCTTTGGTTTAAATAGATCTGGGCTTGGGTTCCATTTAAAACTCATCTGACTGTGTGATCATGTTCAAATTGCTGAGAATTTCTCCTTCAAGTCCTGTTCTATAGTAAAATGATGGACCTACATTTATGTACTTCAATACTTATAAAATGAGAAAAATATCCCAAATCTGAGGATTTCTGTCAAGATTATTGTTACATCACAGAGTTGTAACTATGTGCTTCCTAACAACATTTTTCATGTTACAAAATGCATAGGAATTTAGAGTATTTGTACTGACTAGAGTGTTTCTGAGGGCAATTGGCAGGGCTTAAAGATTGAAATAATCAATTTTGGGCATATTTACAGTTCATTATGGTGTTGAGAGACTCCGAATTAACAAATCAAGTGTCTACCAGGTGTGGTGTTTAATAAAGGCTCTTTCTCTTGAGGCTTATCATATTTTGGAGAGATACATGTAACTGAAGCAGTTAAATAATAAACTTACTGGGTGACCAAAGATCAAGCTGAATGATTCAAAGAAGAAATCTTGAATGTTGTTAAGGAAAGTTTTGTTTAGGAATATTTACTGGCTACTTGAATTGTACTAAGCACCAGGAAGACAAAAATTCTGCTTCATCAGTTTTATGTATTTTCTATCAGGTCTCCTATAATACTCTGTATATAGTACAATCTTATAACGATAGTGAACACGTATGTTTTGTGTGTTTTGTTTATGCTTCCATTGTTGTACCTTCCCTAATCTCTCTCTTTCTTTTTTCTTTTTGAGCAGTACACTGATTCTCAGACTTGTCTGCATGTTGGAATTACCTGGGAAGTCATAAAAGTACTTGGGCCCTACTCACAAATATTCTGATTTAATTGATATAGTGTGGCCTGAACACTGGATTATAAGCATTTTTTAAATGAATAAACGACCTGTGAGATAGGTACAATTTACGGATGAGGACATTGAGGCCTTGAGATGTTAACTAACTTGCTCAAGGTCACACCACTACTGGAGTTAAGAGTCAGACCTAAGTATTTTTGGCTCCAGAACCCTTGCTCTTAACTATTAGTATGTTTATGACATGTCTAAGTATCTCTCATATATTAAAAGAGAATAAACAGGGAAAAAGATCTTCTACTTTATGCTTTTATAAGACCCAATCACTTTGCCTGTGTTTGTTACAAAGTTCTTCAAAAGAGTTGTCAATTTGTATGTCTTGTCCCTGTAGTCCAATCACATTAAATATAATTTAAAATCCTTACTATGTCTTCTCAGTCTTCTATGTGCATCTTAGCCACTTCATTTGGTTTTCTACCATTCTTTCTCTACTTACTTGCTCTGCTCCAGCTACAATGGCCTTCCTTACACTTCCTTGAACATGGAAATAGGCCAAACAGGCATCTGCTTTTAGTCTTTTCTACTTTGTTTCTTGCCTGGAATGCTTTTATCATTAACCCCGTGGCTAGTTTCCTCATTTATTTGAATTTTTTCCCCAAATGTCACTTTGTTAAAGAGGTCTTCATAACGTAGATTTATTTGTTGATTTGTTTCTGTCCAAATGAGTGAGAGAAACATGGTTACAGACCTAAATTCATAATCAAATGTGAGATCTATATCTATGTACTTCAAGCAACTTTGAAGACTGAAACAACTCAACTAAGTGAAGAGAAGGGAGCAGATCAGTTACTAATCTATACTCTTAAAAATATATACAGGATACATGCTTTTTTTCAAAAATAGTTTTCTATTCACACATATGCATGTGTAAAGTACCAAAAATATGAAGATTAATAGGAAATACAAACCCAATACTTATACAACTTGTAACTACAACCAGTAGGTCTGCCACTAGGTCATGAGATTATTGACTTTAAAAATTTTGATTTTATGCATTCCAGACTTTTCACCATGAGCACTAAAATTACAAAGGTTTTAAAAATTAATTTTTAGCTCTGACTGTTAAACAGGATGACTGGTTTTGTTAGAAAATGCCTGATTCAGAAGAAAGTATTTTTTAAAAAAATACCATATGCACACACATAAATATACATATGCATACATATAAGTATATATTCATTGATATACATCTCTTGTTGCCACTTTGAAATGAATACTGAGATATTTATTGTACAATTACGTATTTCTTTTAGTTTTGTTGAAGTGCTATATACATTAGAACAGATTTGACTGTCTCCTAAACTATAAGCTTAAGGAAAAGAGCCATGTTTATGTTGTCAGCCCCCAAAACAGTGCCTTGTCTAATAGGTGAGAAGTGTTTGTTGAATAAATACATTAATTTCAATGAACCGATGAGCGAGCTTTATTCTTTTAAATTTGCATATTAATAGGAAACTTTGTTTTAAAAAACTAAGGTTTATGGAGTGTTTAGTATATTTTTTAATACTTTTTTTAAAAAAATAATTAATTAATTAATTAATTAATACAAGCACTGGGTACAGTCAGAAGTGCAGGAGGGTGAGAGAATTCACCAGAACCAGAGCAGGGAACAGAACAGGCAGACCAATGAAGTACACTGCTGAGGGGAGCAGGGAGCCTGCAGGAGAGGTCTGCGCTCCATGTGGGACAGTCGCCCAGCAGTGGGGGATCGAACCGGTGCTACAGAGGCTGAGGGCAGCTTCGCAGCCTGGCGCTCAATCGCTGCGCCACTGGGGAGGCCCTTTAGTATATTTCAAGCACTTATATTACCTCACTTAGTCTTCACAACATCAGCATGTTAATGATACCTCTTTTTTTAGATAAAGAAACAGACCTAGAGATACTAGCATCAGTTGCTAGTTATGTAGTGACAAATTTAAAGATATTTTTGACTATAGACAACATACTGTTTTTTTTTTTTAATTTTTAATTTTTATTTTTTTGTGGAATTTCTAGGGTGTAGGCCAGAGGTGCAGGGGGTGAGATGATTCACCAGAGAGAGTGGGGTTGAGAGGATTTACCAGAGACAGTGAGGAGCAGAACAGGCAGATTTACTGAAATACACTGCTGAGGGGGGCAGCAGGAGAAACAGGAAAGGTCTGCTGTGCTGTGGGTTAGCGCTCTGGTGGGGGATTGGATTCAGGCCTTAGAGGTGATAATGCTGATACTTAACTATTAGGCGGTCAGGGAGGTACCACTTGCTGTTTTCACAACTGAAATTCTAGGATTGTTTGAGATAGGAGTAGTAAAATTTTAAGAAACCTGAGGATATTGCCATTTGATATAAAGCAGAAGAGTTGAGATCAACCTATACATTGCCATCAAATTTTATAGCAATTGGAAACTTTTTTCCAGCAAATGTTTTATATATAAAACACTGCAAATGAAATAAGAATAAAAGGTATTGATTTATAAAGTGAATTATTTCTGCACTCTTAATTACAATCTATTTAAATTTTACACACTGTAATTACAATTTTTAAGATTAAAAATAAAGCTGACTTGGTAAACTAGTGTTAATATTTCATAACTAACCACCAGTTAAACTAGAATTAGGAATAGGCATCTTGAGTTATGCTTTGTAGTTCAATGTAGTATATTACGCAACTCCTAAGACTATTTGAGGGGCCTCCCCTGGTGATGCATGCGGTTAAGCGCAGTGCTGTGAAGCTGTCATCAGCCTCTGCAGCGCGTGTTGATCCTGGCCTGCCAGTGAGGATGCTACATGGCGCAGCAGACCTCTCCTGTCTCGCCCGCTGCTCCCCTCAGCAGTGTATTTCACTCAGTCTGCCTGTTCTGTTTCCCACTCTGTCTCTGGTGAATCCTCTCACCCTCCGGCACATCTGACCTGTATCCCAGTTCTTGTATGTATGAATAAATAAATCTTTTTTTAAAAAAAAATATTTGATCAAATAATTTCCCATATAAACAGTAATCAGATGAAGCATTTGGTATGTACTTTCTTGAATGTTTTTGAAGTACAGTCTCCAAAATTAATTTTTTCATTGCATTTTAGGTAAAAAGATTGCTGTGTCAACTTACTGAAGCAATAGTCTCACTATCTTCATCTTTTAAACTCCATTAACAGTGAAGCAGTAATATCCAGGAACAAAAGAACATATGCCAACTACCTGTCATCACAATTTCAAGTGATTGTATAAGCAGAAACAAGCTGCAACAGACCTACGTGTCAGCTGGTATCGAAAGAATGCTTTTTTCTGATACTGTTTATTTAAAAGCAGTTTCACTATAGCACATTTAAATTTTATCTATAGCAAATGAAATAAAAATGAGTGAAGCTCCCAGATTCTTTGTCGGGCCTGAAGATACAGAAATAAACCCTGGAAATTATCGACATTTTTTCCACCATACGGAAGAAGATGAGGAGGAGGAAGATGAGTCTGTAAGTTGTTTGCTAAAAGACGAGCAATACAGGATAGACTTTTAAATAATGTGAAGGTGAATTAATATCTTAAATTATGGAGACTTTTTTCACATATAAATTTGTTGGACATATTTTAAACTGAAAAGGCATATTTTGTTTTATGAGTAACTTTGTTGAATAGATGGTGCATGAAAGATACAACTAGACTTCTAAGTTGTTTAATGATGCCCACTGTAGTGTCTTTCAATGATGTGCCTAGCAGAACTCAGGTTTGGGTAGAGGGGTGGCAAAGATAAAGCATAATCAGGGCCATAAATCAAAAGAGTTTCTTGTTAAGTACTTCTAGTGTATATTTGAAGCAGTGTGAAATGTTACTTTGAATATTTTGTTGTCTGGGGAAATAAGGTAGAACATGATAATGAGCCATGATGGGCTTTTGACAGGGAAAGAATTGAATAAGAGAACATAGAAGTATATCAGAGGAGGAAATAGCAGGAGACCCCAGGGAGGTTAGAATTTATAATCTGTTTGATTTATAATGAAATATTAATACCAATTTGAACTAAATTTCAATGAGAGGAGACAATGAAGGAATATATTTCTAGACATGAAGAAGAATAAGAATTTGAATGTTACCCATTTGAATTTATAGATAATAAGAGTAGTAAAGCAGTTTTGGGCACAGATTATGTCATATGAAATATATAAAATATAGAAGGAAGAGAAGAAAGGAAAACTGAACACAACTTTATATGTTTGATAAAACTTTAAGCACTTGAATGCAAAGACCTTAAAATGAATCTTTAATGTTTTGTAAGCCTGTTAGCTACTGATAAGCATTGTGTCTATGTCCTACTTTTTCAGTTTCAGACCAAAACATGGCCTTGGGACTGTAGTGAGGGTGCCAGGGAAGAGCAGCACCAATAAATAGGAATATTGAGTGTGACAATTGGAATGTGGGGGAGCTTTGTTAGCATTCTCCAAAATTTCTTTCCACGTTGTCATTGGTGACCAACTAATATTTACTCAACTTACAAAAGTAGCTCAATTTACCAAGTAGTTTAATATTATATAGCTTTGTAATCAGAAAAACACTGATTTTAGACAAGAGAATTCATAATCTCACCCTAATAGGCCTTCTTACTTGAATTAAATGGATTAGGGCTCATCTTTGCCCCTTTTTTGGTGTGAGGAAGATCAATAAATACTAGATAAAGGAGTATTTGTTTAAGTTGGAACTTGGAACATGTTCTGAAAGTGTTTATGCTTTAAAACTTCTTTGCAGAACTTTGTAGAAAACTTATTTATTTTAATAACAATATAATTTTGAAAAATGCCTTTTTGGCCAATATGTGACTTTTATTGGTTCACCACATGCCTCATCTACTTCTGAAAAAAATTCATGATTAGGTATACTTTGAAATTCTTACTAAGATTAGCCTAATTTTTGTTTCCTCTCTGTTTCAGCCACCAGAAAGGCAGATTGTGGTTGGAATATGTTCCATGGCAAAGAAATCCAAATCTAAACCAATGAAAGAAATTCTTGAACGGATCTCCTTATTTAAATATATCACAGTCGTAGTATTTGAAGAGGAAGTTATTTTGAATGAACCAGTGGAAAACTGGCCTTTATGTGATTGTCTTATTTCTTTCCATTCTAAAGGTAATAGAGAATGGGGAGGGAAACCTCATTTATCCTCTCTGATTATAAAATGAATACATAGTAACTGTGGAATATTAAATGAGACAGAAACAGAAAATTAAATTTGCCAACTCTCTCAGAAGGCCGATAGTAACCTTTTGATTTGTTGCTTTCTGGTCTTCTGTGTGTTTTTTCAAAAGATTAGTGTTATGCCATACATGTAATTTTGTGTGTAATTTTTTTACTAATTATATCAAGAGGTTTTTTTTTCCATTCATATAGTGCTTCATGGTGTCATTGTATACCATTATATATGACTGTTCTATAACATATTTAGCCAGTGTCCAAACAATTAAATGGCTTTTCATTTTTACTATTAAAAATAAGGTTGTGATAAAGTGCTTTGAATGTATAACTGTTTTTGCATTTCTAAGTTTCTTGGGGTAAATTTTTGAATTATTAAATATTTTAAGTCTTAATGCATTTGCCACAAAGAAAACCATCTGTCGTTCCTCATATACACATTCATACTTTATTTCTTAAGAATATAATATTTGAATTTTAGATCTTACTTGCTATCTTTTATAAATCAAACTGAAAAATTAAGTAAGCTTATGTATTACCTCATAGTAAAGTCTACTAATCAAAATTATGGTATATATCTGAAATCCAAAAACAACCCATGAAGTAAGTGAATTTCCCCCTAAGAACTATATAAAATACGTGCTTTCATTTATAAAGATATTCATATTAGCTCATTTCTCATTACCAGAATATATAGTATTAAATTCTCAACTTAATTAAGTGATCAAAATGAATCTCCTTTAGCACAAAAGAGATGGGACATGATTGAGACTTTTTGTATTCCCATAGCCTATACGGAATTTCAGTATTTCTTAGATAATCCAAGGTCCTGGTCCTCTTTACAAATGGCATTCCCTCATTTTAGAGAATCTTAAAATTTGCTTATCCCAGAGGGTAAGGTATTCTTCGCTTACTATCACATATTCTTCCTACAAAAGCAATTTGCTTGGAAAACTAGGTACTGTTTAAAGTCATGTTTCATAAGCTGTCTCTTGGTATGAAAAAAGCTCCTCTCACAACTACAGGAAAAAAAGTCAGGCAACTGACTATGTGGAAGTTTCCTATTTGCTGAATTCTGTTAGGCTTCAAAGCATAGACTTTGAGATATCTTTACAAGTGATGAATTCTGAGAATCCTTATAAAACTTGAAGTGTTTGTAGCTTGTGGCCAAGTGACTCTTAGTATAGAGTACCTGTATTTAAATCTTAAAAATGATAATAAATTTAGGAGTAAATCTTCAACTGACTTGTAGTTTTTTTTTTTTTTTTTTTTTTTTTTACCTCAATGTGCTTTAATACTTCCTCCTGCTACTTTCTAATCTGATAATGCTGCAAACTATAGTGTCTTCACAGGTATATTGTAAAATACTATAGTTTAATGCTGAAGTTATTTATACTTGCTGATTTTTAACCTTTTCCTTAGATAAGATACTCACTAGAATATTGTCATTTAAAGAATAAAAATAGTTTACATTTATTGGGCATATAATTTATGCTCATAAATATATAAATTATATATTAATATATAAATATAAATTACAAATAATATAAAATATAAATTATATGCTCAATAAATTATACCAGATTATACCAGATATTATGGCAAGTGTTTATATATACATTCTTTTATTTAATACTTTAAAAACCCTACTAGGTAAAACTGGCGTAATACCCATTTATAGTCTGGAATTAGAGGCATGTTAAATAAATTTGTCCAATTTCTTGTAGTTGGTGTGAAATGGAACCAGGACTTGAACTCTGCTTCATGTTCTTTTGTAATTTCCTGCCTGTTTTAATAATCTGTATTGATGGTTAAAATTGGAAACATTCCATGTCAATACAAAATATAATCATTAAAATTCTTTAGATATTTGTTAGGCCTTCATATATTTTATTATATTTTTTGAGTTTATTATATATGAATTTTTATTAAAGATGTGTAGTTTCTTTGAATTATCAGCTAATTTATATGTTTATCTTATGTGAGAAGAAGAGTGCTTATATATACTTTTACAAAAAATTACCAGGTGATTGTGATATACTTATTTATATTTAAATTTCTGTTGGCATATAAAGTATTCTGTCAGGTGATTTTGGGTAATCAGGCATTAACTACTTGTCAGTGTTCTAAATTTAGTAATGTAACCACTGGCTTGTTGTGCCTTATCAAAGTAACTAGGAAACAGTAAGATTTATTTAACAGTATAAGTTAAATCAAATTCTGTATTCCTGGCCTTATACTGAAAACATTTATAGTCGTAATGGAATTAATCTTTTATGGGAAGTGGCATAAATTCAGATTGATAAGTTATAAATCTCACCTTATTTTAAGATTGTACAGAATATGTTAATAATATGTGTTCTTAGGATTTCCACTGGACAAAGCAGTTGCCTATGCAAAACTCAGGAATCCATTTGTAATCAATGACTTGAATATGCAGTATCTCATACAAGATAGGTGAGTGGTGAAGTTGACTGTATTAAGACAAGGAAAATTAATTTACTATTTTAAACTGACATGGCTTTAGTGTTTTTACATTTTTCATGGTATTCTTGAAATAGTGCTTAGATCTTACAATTATATCCAATTTTACAGATGAAGAAATTTGAAAATTAGGGAGATCAATTAATTTGCTCATAGTCACAAATAATTCCACAAGTAGTAGGATGAGGACTTAAACTAGGTTTAATTTCTTGACCCTATTAAACCAATGAAAAAATTTTAATGTGACTGAAAATAAAATTAGGATTTTACTCATTTTTAACTGGATTTTTTAAAAAGGAAAAGTGTAACCATTTTGCAAAATAGTTCATTCTAGATCTAAGCATTCATTTAATAAGCCAAATAGCATGGATTTCTAAGAAAAAATTATACAATAATGAATGTATTTATTTCATTTAATTGAATTTCATTTTGAAGACTATATTCTTTTCACCAGAATTCTATTTTGTTTTATTTATTTATTTAAATCTTTTTTTCTTTAATATTTATTTATGTATGCATATAAGAGCTGGGGTGCAGGCCAGAGATTGGGGGGTGGGGTGAGAGGATTCACCAGAGACAGAGTACGGAGCAGAACAGGTGGATTCCCTGAAATACACTGCTGAGGGGAGCAGCTGGCGAGACAGGAGAGTTCTGCTGTGCCATGTGGGTTAGCTCCCTGGCTGGGGGGCAAACTCTTGCTATAGTAGTTGCAGATAGCTTCATAGTGCTGAGACTTAACCCCTTGTGCCACCAGGCAGGTCCCCTCTATTTTGTTTTATAATGGTATTATAATATGAGTTTATTTATATGAAAATACTTGAGAAACAGGACCCTGTATTTTTTTCTATTCTTATTTTTTTCTATTCTTCCGTATAGTTATATTATTAAGTTCTAAAATTTTCCTAGGTTGACATAGTTATATATTTATGTATTTAAATGTAAATATATACACACATAAAAGTTCATAAGAAAGGTTTAAACCTGCCCCTACTTATTTAATAGAAAGCAATACATAACATAAAACCACATTTTACAAAAGGATCACTTTTCATTTATAATACTTAAACATGTTCATGTGTCATTAGGTATTAAGTATAAAGCTTTAATGATTAGGTCATATTTTGGTTTGCGATATAATTACTTCATTTAACCATTACTTTTTACATACTTAAATTCCCAATTTTAAAAAATAACATTTTAACATGTCACAAAATTATTATGCGTGCATTTTGTGCTAATTGCTGTGTATTTTCTAAGAATCATTTTTTCATTATACATTGAAATGACACATTTATTTACTTAAAAAAATCAAGACTTGAATCGATGTATTTTGAGTAGTAGAATAGTAATGTACTTTAAGAACAACACAATAATACAGTCATTGTGAAGGATAGCAATAATATCATAAAGATGATTCCCTTTTTCCTCAGGAGAGAAGTATATAGTATTCTTCAAGCTGAAGGTATTTTACTTCCCCGCTACGCAATTTTGAACCGTGATCCAAATAATCCCAAAGGTAAGAGTAAGATTTTTCAGCAGAGTGACAGATTTTACCTCTGTCACTCAACATACTTTAAAAACCATTTAAACTATTCAAGTGGTGGGAATTTAAAGAACTCATAGTATTCTGTTCATTTTTTTCCCCTAATGATCCAAATAAATAAACATTATATTCAGTTAAAATGTCACACTATGAGCTAAAAGACTAATAATTTAGGAGTTGTATATCTTGCTTTGGTTTACATTTGTTATATCTCTGAGAATCACTTATTACGTACTTAATAAAAACTTGTATTGATTACAGTGATTCATCTATGACTGTTGAATTAACTATTGGAAACTTCATGTTAGGGTGCTACAGTTAAATTTTTAATGTCTAGAAATATTGATATATTACTATTAATATTTTGAAGCACCTTTTGCTTCATTTTCATGGTTATCTTAAACACAATTTATATGCTCTGTATAAATTAATGTAAAAATGCAAGATAAATGTTTTACCTATTTTAAGATTTAATATTTAGATAACAGTATGTGGAGGAATTTTGATGACTTTCTTGTATCTTAAAGTAGTTTTTACTAAAAATCACACATAATTTTTATTGTCTATAACATAGAACTTTTCTTGTTTCTATAGGGTAAAAAATTAACTTTCATTGTTTACTCTGCGTATAAGTAACTTTTCTAACTTAAGTAATTTCATGTTTTGTGAATTTTGGGTATGAATGATCATGTTTTTCAGAAGTTAATAGCTTCCTGGAATTATTTCTCAATCTTTTCTTGTTGGCATAATTTCATACCTAACATTGAATTCTGTGGTATGATGGGGTGAAATGGCAGATCCAAGTGATTTTGAAGAACAAAATGCCATATTGCATATATTATAAATGCTAATATATATTGCTTGCATTAACATTTTTAATTAAAAACAAAAGAGTATATCATCCAGGCTTACTTTTTTTTGTAATCTCTAGTTAAGTAAATAACAATAATATATGTAGATAATATTCAATATGTAATTTTTCTGTCTGTTATATTTGATTGATAGAATGCAATCTGATTGAAGGAGAAGATCATGTAGAAGTAAATGGGGAAGTTTTCCAAAAGCCATTTGTAGAAAAACCAGTCAGTGCAGAAGATCACAATGTTTACATTTATTATCCAACCTCTGCCGGTGGTGGAAGTCAAAGACTTTTTCGAAAGGTGAGCCTTTATTATCGTAGTGAATACTCTTATTCATACCTTGTGAAGTTTTACTAAAAGAGATCAAGTGTTTAATAAAACTGATTAAAAAGTATGTAAACTTTAAATATAAATCAATAAATACTTTGCTATAAAAACTAGAATCTTTTCAGCTATTTAATATTGCTTACGCAAATTCCCACCTACAAAATTTCAAGGGAATCACTTATTTTTGTTTTAATTTCTATTTATATATTTGTCAACAAGAAAAATACAGGTAAAATTAGCAGTCTTAGATAAATGGCACAAAAATGGGTAGTTCTTAGAAAAAAGTAATGTCAATAACTTTTAAATACATGAAAGTATATTCAGAACTTTATCCATAAAAACTTAAGTGCAGATCAAATCTAAAAGATGATGGTGTTGAATTACTTTTTGGATGGGCAGAAATCAGAAAGGTTGAGGTAGTTGGAAAACAAGCAAACCCAAACATTTTTAGCAGGTAGACAAATTAGTGTAGCCATTTAGTAATATATCAGGATTTAAAATCCACATATATTTATAATCAATCATAGAAATGGAAATTGCAAAGTAGGAACACAATGCTATATACTGTTTTATATCCATTAGAGTGGAGAATACTAAAACTAATAACAATACCAAATATAGACAAAGATGTAGAGCAGTGGGAACTGATAAATTGCTGGAGACACTCTAAATTGTTAAGACAATTTATAAAAGATGTTGGCATTATGTAAATTGGATATGAGCATAGTCTATCAACCAGCAATTCCACTTTTCTAGTGTATACTTTAGAAAACTTGCATACGTTTATGAGGATGTGAGAATATTTGAAGCAACATTATTCTAACTAAAATTTAGAAAGCAACTTAAATTTATACCTTCATAGGAGAATGAAATATGGTATATTTATATAGTGGAAATTTTGCAGTTGCAAATTCTTTTATTTGTTTGTTTGTTTGTTTGTTTATTTATACAAGCACTGTGTATAGTCAGAAGCACGGGAGGGTGAGAGAATTCACCAGAGCGGGAAACAGAACAGGCAGACTGACAAAGTACATTGCTGAGGGGAGCAGTGGGCGCAGCAGGAGAGATCTGCTCGCCATGTGGGACCCTTGCCGGAGGCCGGGGATAGTGCCAGTGCTGCAGAGGCTGAGGGCAGCTTCGCAGCCCAGCGCTCAACTGCTGCACCACCAGGGGAGGCCCATGCAGTTGCAAATTCTATAGCAGTGAAAATGAACAAACATGCAAGGATATTGTTGACTCTTAGAAACATAAAATTCAATTTAAATAAATAACTATTTTTACACTGTTTAACTTATGTATAAGTTACAATTATAGCAAAAATTATGTGGTGTCAACTACTTCGTAAATTTTGTTAAATATTTGTGAATTAAAAAATTTCTACCTGAGATGGAAATAGATGGTAAAGAGATTATATTATATAAATTGAGGGGAGTATTTTAGTTTTTATTTTAATGTACATTCTTTTTGTTTCCAGATTGGTAGTAGAAGTAGCGTTTACTCTCCAGAAAGCAATGTACGAAAAACGGGCTCATATATATATGAAGAGTTTATGCCCACAGATGGTACTGATGTTAAGGTAGGATTGAGCAAAGTATATTTTAATGGTGTACTTAGAGTTTACTAGCGGTTGCAGAAAAAGTATTACATTTAAATTAGCTACCGCTAACTTCTAGATATCTTTCTTTTTGAATAGGAAATACCTGTTTTGTATATGCACCCTTTGGTAGTCTGAAGCCTTTGTATTTTTTTTTTTTTAAAGAATAATGATCTTAAATACTTACAACAGTGTGTATAGGATTAGAAAATAAGCAAATTTTGTTGAGGTATAATTATCAAAATATTTAAAAACTTACAATGTGTCTACTTCTTTAAAAGGCTATTAAATAATAAAATACAGTGGCTAGTGGTTTAATATGTTCCACATTTCTGAGCATTGATCAATGTTTTGAGATCTATGACAACTGTAATATGATAGATATAAAACTAATGTGATATAAAATATGTGTGATTTCTATTGGTAACAAATAAGATATTAATTTCTTTATCTTCAGCCAAGTCTCTCTCTAACCAGAATGTTCTTTCTAAAGTGTAGACCCAGAAATAAACGTCTCTTAAAAATCTCTAGTGACTCATCATTGACCACAGGAAATAATCAGATTCATGAGGCTGACTGGCATACAAGACATTTTACAGTCTGCCATATGAACCTTATTTCTTATAATAGAAACCATACCACATGAACAGAAAATATACCAAATAACTTGCTCTTCTACAGATGCCATGCTATTTTATGCCTCTGACCCCTGTCTGTGTTTATTATCTTTGTTTAGAGTACCTTTCCCTCTCGTTTCAGCCTTTAAATTTATGCTGTTCCCCCCGCCCCTTTTTATCTTTCTTTTAGAGTTACTTCTTTCTATAATTCTCTGATAGTTATTTGTACTTCTCCTTTGTTAAACTAAAACAATTTGAGGAAACACTACATATATTCTCATGTTCCCTCAAAAGGGTAGGATAATTGTTTTCTGTAGAAAATAGAACTTCACTTCACCAGTTTGCCATATAATTAGAATTTTTTCCAATGTATTGAAAATTTTGGAATATAAAATAGGAAGCTGTGGCTATATAGTAGTTTGGAGACTGAAGTATCCTGTGTTATTTTTTCTTTGAGTTTGTTGTCTGCTGATTCTATATAAACATATATATATAAATATATAATGCATATATAAGTATATATATACACATTAACCTTTGTGAAAGGTTTATACAGTGGGCCCAGATTATGCCCATGCTGAAGCTCGAAAATCTCCAGCACTCGATGGCAAGGTGGAACGAGATAGTGAAGGAAAAGAAGTAAGATACCCTGTTATTCTCAATGCACGAGAGAAATTAATTGCTTGGAAAGTGTGCCTTGCATTTAAGGTAAGCCCTTAATGTTATACATGTCATATAGACCATTGTAAAAGAAACTCCAAATTTATTTTTCAAATAAAAGAGGTGTTATATGGGCTTATAATTGGGGAAGTAAGCTATACATGTAAGAGTGGTACATGAACCGATAATACATTTTTCAAGGGTTCTTATAGTACCATAATAAAAATGTCTTGTAAATGAAGATCTCTGTTTCTTAATATTCTTTCTGTATTATAAATAGAGCACTTTTGTCAATTTATTCAGTTATTAAAAATCCAGGGGAAAAGGTACCTAAAAACGGTTTAGTTTACCAGTAATTAGGAGTATTGTTTAATTTATTAAAAACAACAGGTTATAGGTATTGTTTATTCAAGCAACTAGAAACCAGAGACACACTGGGGTGGGGAGAGGGAGTAGGATCAAAACAAGGGGGATGGGAATTGTATGGGGACTATAACCAAGATGACAATGCATACATTATGCAAAAATGAAAAATGATGTAAAAAGTATATAAAGTAAAAAAAAGAAAAAGAGTATTGTTTATTCATAGAATTGATAAATGTTATTTTTTTGTTGTTCATTAAAAAAATGTCCTGAATAGTCTTCTAGCTTGGTAATTGATACTTTAACCAAATATATGGTGAAAATAATGTAAATACATTTCATAAAACTTTTTTGTTTGATATTTGAATAATTCTCTCAATTAATACTTTTAGGCTTTTGTACTACAATATAGTAAAGTTACAAGAATAAACAGTACAACATGCATCTACTAAAAAATAAATTCTACCTTTTTTGAAGACCTGCCTTCGATATGTAGCTTAAAGACAAGTATATTACTAACTTCATACAAATCATTTGAATTTTTTAATAAGGTTCCAAAATCACATATTCATGTGAATTTGATGACTTTATTATGAAATGTAGAAGACCAGAAAGTCTTGTATCCTGAGAAAGACATTTATACCTTTCAATCATTTTCATCTCCAAGATAAATTTATTTCAGATGCTCACAAGTACATAGTTGTCAGGATAAAAGATTCATAGAGATAATTGGGCATTTTATCTAGGTTATGTCTTTAAAACTGTTTTTCCCCCTTTTTTTAGATTAAAGTGATGTACTTTCTGATAACACAAAACTTTCAAGACCTTTAAAAACACTTTTTCAAATTAAAATGTTAACTGAAGAACTTTATATCATGTGTTTTTTTTTGCCAGTTTAATCCTATAAGATTATTGCTCTAAATCTACTTTGTGGTAAAGAACTGTAATCACCAAGTAGCATGTGTTATGTATCATCAGATTACTCATATTACAGATAATATCTCACATTTTTTACTTACTATGAAGTGAACTGATATACTTTTATACAAATTTGATGTGTTCTATTAAAACTGGAAACTGAATCTTAATTCAAATGGGACTTTAAAGTTTATCACTTATTTTAAATAGCAAACAGTTTGTGGCTTTGATTTATTACGAGCCAATGGACAGTCCTATGTCTGTGATGTCAATGGCTTCAGTTTTGTGAAAAATTCCATGAAGTATTATGATGATTGTGCAAAAATACTTGGGTAAGAATTTTTTTCTTTGTATTTTTTCCTCTTATTTTGTTACCAAAAGAAAAAATACTTGCAAACATCATTTTTTATATTAAGGTTTTGTGAGCTCTCTAGAGTAAAAATTGGTGTTCATAAAATGACATCCCCAAAGACCATGCCAAATCCTGAGTTTTACTTTGGTTATCAAAGACTAATTTATAACCACAATACATAAAGGGTTAAAGTTATTTTAACTTTATAGATTTAGAAATAATGTTGATTATTGATCAAAATAGCTAATTTACTAGATTACCATGTTCCTCAGGTTTTTGCTATTATTATTATTGTTATTTTTTTAAAGATTTATTTATTTATGCATACAAGAACTTGAGTACAGGCCAGAGGTGTGTCGGGGGGGGGGTCAGTGAGAGGATTTACCAGAGACAGTGGGGAACAGAACAGGCAGATCTACTGAAATACACTGCTGAGGGGAGCAGCAGGGCAAGTCAGGACAGGTCTGCTGCACCATGTGGGTAACTCCCTGGCCTGGAATCGAACTCGTGCTGCAGTGGCTGCAGATAGCTTCACAGGTTGCATCTTAACCCCTTGCGCCACCAGGGAGGCCCAGTGTTTCATTCTCTTAATAGCACAAAATTAACAACTCTGAGACAAATAATCAGAGTAAAATAGATATATTCAAAATTCAAAATTTTTTTGAATAATGCTACTTTCTTCAAGGGTATGTTACTTAAAATTAATCTCATGAGGTTATCAAGTGAATGCAAAAAAGATATTTATAGAAATACCATTTTATATTATTTGTCCTATTTTCATGTAACTTAATTTATAAGACTCTGAAGATGAACTTTTTTAATGCAGTTCAAAGAATATATGGCAAAGACATAAGAAATACTTTAAAATGTATATTATTATCAGCTTTTATAATATATTTCAAAAAATTTGTGAACTTATTCTTGAAATTTGTAGCAGTTTACTAAATTTTAGCATAAAAGATAAATTTAAACAAAACAAAAATATAATTACTTAAACATGTTGTCATGATTCATTCTTTAGTAACACATGTATGATAGAGGTTTGTTAAAAAAGAACATGTATTTATAAATAGGTATTGAGGTAGCTGGTAAGAAATGGTTAGTGACCTTACAGATAGTAAGAACGTAAAGACAATCTGGAATTTTAGAATGTATGTAAATAGAAATGATGCAATTATAAAAAAGAAGTGCCAAATTATATTGATTTATTTGCATCTACTGTGGCTTTTTTTAATAAATTTTTTTAAAGATTTATTTATTTATACAAGCACTGGGGTACAGGCCAGAGGCAGGGGAGGGTGAGAGAATCCACCAGAGACAGAGCAGGGAGCAGAACAGCAGAAGGACCCAAATACACTGCGGAGGGGAGCAGTGGGCGTGACAGGAGAGGTCTGCCAGGCCATGCGGGAATCTCCCTGGCCAACTGGGAATCGAACCAGCACCACGGAGGTTGCGGACAGCCTCACAGCGCTGCACTCAACCCGCTGCGCCCAACCCGCTGTGCCACTGGGGAGGCCTGGCTTTTGTTTTTTAAAACAAATAAGTAAATAATTCCAAAATCACGAAATCCCATTAGTGTATTTTAATATAGTAATTTAGAACTGTTGAAATAATTTTTCTTAAGCATAATTGATTCTTTGAGTCCAATTTTAAGTAATATAGTCACATGATCATTAAATAGTTTGACTTTAACTTCTGTGTTTTTATCATTTGTCATTAAATGCCTAGTTTTGTCTTAAGATGAACTGATTTTTTATTTTTCATTTCTTTTTGTCTCAGCAATATTGTAATGCGAGAGCTTGCTCCACAATTTCATATCCCCTGGTCAATACCCTTAGAAGCTGAAGATATCCCAATTGTACCAACTACATCTGGAACTATGTAAGTTTGAGTATCTTCAGTTAGAAACTTTGAGTTTTCCTTGTCATTCTGTTCATTGCACTAAAGATTACATTTCTTTTTCTTTTTTTGATTGAGGTATAATTGACATCTATGTTGTATTTGTTTCAGTTATATAACATTGATATAATATTTCTGTATTTTGTGAAATGATTTTAATAAGTCTAGTTAACATAGTTAGGAATTTTTTTTGTGTGTGTGATGAAGATTTTAAGATCTACTCTCTTACCAGCTTTCAAATACGCAGTATATATTATTATTAACTATAGTTACCATGCTGCATATTGCATCCTCAAGACTTCATTTTATAATTGGACATTATACCTTTTGATACTTTTTACCCATTTTGTCTACCTTGTACCTCCCACTCCTGGCAACCATCAGTATGTTCTCTGAGTCTATGAACTTGGTAGTTTTGTTTTTTGTTTTGTTTTAAAATTCCATATATAAAGTTCATATGGTTTTTGTCATTCTCTGATTTATTTCACTTAGCCTAATGCCCATAAGTTCTATCCATGTTGTCACAAATTGTAAAATTTCATTCTTTTTATATGTCTGAATAACATACAATTGTACATATGTGCCACATTTTTTGAATCCCTTCATTGACCTATGAACTCTTAGGTTATTTCAATATTTTTGCTATTGTAAAATGCTACAGTGAACATATGAGTCGCATATTTTTTTCAAGTTTGTGTTTTCATTTTCTTTGGATAAATCTTTGTATTGTTATGAAGAATGTCCTGAAAAATGCTTGTTAAATTATATTAAACTATAAAAAAGAAGGAAGGGCCAATAGGCATGTTACTTATAGGTTCATATAGTGAATGATCATACAGTTCTGGTGCTCTTAGCATTTAAAAAAATTATATAGTTATATTTTGAAGTAAATTAATTAGATCAAAGCATCTTTATAATAATCTGCTAGAGAAAGTTATTTCCTATTACTTACCTGTTACTTAGGCAAATTTTGTTTTATGCCTCAGTTTGACAAACTAAATTATTTCTCTTAAACTAAGCATTCTTCCTAAGATAGTTGCATCTTCCAGTAAGTTGAGTTTGTAATACTAGTTTTTTCGTAATGGGCAGAATAAGTACTATTGCTATTAAGAAAAGCTTTATTTTATTTTGATTTAATGAAATCTCAGTCTGTAGTGGCTTATGCTGTATAGGAGATAGTTAATAAAGTTCTGGATTGCTGTCCATTTTACTTTTATCCCAGAGTTAGCATAGTTAGAAATCTATAGAGGTAGCAGATATTACACAACTTAATATCACTCTTCCTCTAGCTTCTAAATGAATTTCTTTTAGGATTTGATTTGTAAATTTAAGACTGGTTGTTGTTAATACTGTTCTTCATAGGAAAGATGTTGAAATGGAAGTTGTCTCTAATAGTTATTAGTATGAATTATAAAACAAAAATTTTTGTTAGAAATTGAGAATCTTTTTTTTTTTTTTTTTTTTAATTTTAGGATGGAACTTAGATGTGTCATTGCTGTCATACGTCATGGAGATCGAACACCAAAACAGAAAATGAAAATGGAAGTGAGGCATCAAAAGTATGTTTTAGGAGGAATAATTTTATAACCAGGAGATAATTTAATATTTCTGATAAATGATAAGCTATTTTGAATACTACATCACACAGAAAAACTATACATCGGGGCCTCCCCTGGTGGCGCAGGAGGTTGAATGCAGCACTGTCAAGCTGTCCCCAGCCTCTGCAGCACAGGTTTGATCCTGGAAGGCTGGTGAGAATCCCAAGGCGTGGCAGACCTCTCCTGTCTCCACCGCTGCTCTCCTCAGCAGTTTATTTCAGTAGATCTGCCTGTTCTGTTCCCTGCTCTGTCTCTGGTGAATCCTCTCACTCTCCCACACATCTGGCCTGTACCCCGCTTGTGGTATACATGAATAAATAAATCTTTGGGCCTCCCCGGTGGTGCAGCCGGTTGGGCGCCACACTGTGAAGTTGTCCACAGCCTCTGCAGTGCAGGTTCAATTCCCTGCTGGCCAGGGAGAAACTTGCATGGTGCAGCAGACCTCTCCTGCCTCGCCCGTTGCTACCCTCAGCAGTCTTTGGTCCATCTGCCTGTTCTGCTCCCCACTCTGTCTCTGATGAATTCTCTCACCCTCCCGTGCTCCTCTGACCTGTACTCTAGTTCTTATATAAAGAAATAAATCTTAAAAAAAAAAACTATATACCGTTTCTTGGTCATTAATATTTACACCACTGGTTGCAAACAAAACCCACTTAAATGATTGTATATATCAGTATCTGAAAATAATTATGGTAATATTGATACTTGATCATCAGTCTGATCTCACTTTCACTTATTGCTATAAAGTTTTTCTATTTAATCTTGGTGTATTATTGTCTTATATTACTTTCTGAGAGTTATTTACTTCTCAGTCTTCTAGAAGAAATTTAATAGAATGAAAGGTTTTGTGTTCTTTTTAGTGTTGGATTTGGAGATGATAAAATTTGAAAACGTACGCTATTAAATAAGTGTTGAACAAATAATTTCTTAATGTGTGTGTAGTGATTTCAGGACATATTTCATTTTGTATTATAAATTGTATGTTCCGTTTCCATCATGAGAATACTTGTAAAAAATCATCTAGTAACTTCATTTGACATGGTTTGGAAAATTTCCTAATTGTTTTAATGTAAGGAGAAGAGCAATATGGTATAGTGAATATAATATTTTAAATTTATACATCTCCAAGTTCTATTTTGTATTATTTGTTCTATTTCCATTTTTATCATTATAGTTGATTCGTGTAAGCATAGGATAATAATATTAATTACTGCAAATAACTTACAGTTATTTTTGTTCTGTCTTTTTTTATAAGATTTTTTCGATCTTTTTGAAAAGTGTGATGGATATAAATCTGGAAAATTGAAACTCAAGAAGCCAAAACAATTACAGGCAAGTGCAATTGATTTCTTGTTGAGTTTTAAATTGCTAATGGCGAGTAGCATAAAGATTCAATTCTTTATTAATTTATTTTATAGGAGGTGCTAGATATTGCACGACAACTGCTGATGGAACTGGGACAAAATAATGATTCCGAAATTGAAGAAAACAAGTCAAAACTTGAACAGCTCAAAACCGTGTTAGAGATGTGAGTGTCTTTTTAAACCCCTTGACTTAATAGTGCTCTTCTTTTATGTGTGACTTTCTGTGTTAATTTCCTTCATGGTTTGATCTGGAGCTGCAGTGAGAAAATAAATAGATTGTTGTATTAAAGAGTGCTGTCTTACTTTTACTTTTACTTTTAATGAGAAGTTCAAAATTAGATTCTCTGCCCAGCACTTCCTATTTAGAATAAAGTCCACATTGCTAACTTGACCACAGATTCAGTTCTGTTTAAATAAAAAGCAGTATTGAATTCTTTTAATGAAGTGAAATTGTTACCACAAGTGTTCTTATTCTAAGCTTTGCATATTTGAATATTTACAATCTTATTTCCTTTATATTTTGCGAAAACATAGACATGTGTTTCAATACCGTTCAATACCTTACTGTCTCTTCAAAATGATCAAACTTTTGTAAAGAATTTTTTTCTATTTTCGTAATATATTTAGATGGCACAGGTTTTCTTCTAGAATATTTTGAAGAATTTGCAAGGTAGTTACAAATTGAAGGAGAGAGACATCAATCTTAAGATCTAGTTTTTCCCTAAGATGGGTTTTAGGTTTTCTTTAGAAGATGACATGGAATACGTAGTGAATGGTATTTTATTTTTTTGCCATTTTATTTTTCAGGTATGGCCATTTTTCTGGAATAAATCGTAAAGTTCAATTAACTTATCTCCCTCATGGATGTCCTAAAACATCCAGTGAAGAGGAAGGTATGCCATTATTAATGGTGTTTATGTTTCAGTTATGTATAGAAACTTATTGCTCATTGTTGATTACCTTTGGATCTTTTTCTGTCTAATATTTTAGGGACTGGCCTGCTGAATAAAGGAAAAATAAAGTGTTTTATCTAACTTTATCCTTTAAGTGAAATATAGGAATAGACTTTTATTATATTAAAAATTGCTTAGGCATTTTCCTTTTACTTGGGTTGTTTCAGAAAGCTTACTTGTCTATAGTTAAACACTACTTAATGTGACCTTTTTCTTTTTTTGGTGGATGGAAAACTCAGAATGTAAGAAAACACCATTTGGAAGACGTTATCAATGTGTTTCTGGGATATATAGTTTCCTCCACCCAATAAACCAGAATGAGCTTTTTATTTTATTTTTATTTTTTTTAAAGATTTATTTATTTATTTATACAAGCACTGGGTAGAGTCAGAAGCGCGGGAGGGTGAGAGAATTCACCAGGATCAGAGCGGGGAGAAGAGCAGGCAGAATGACGAAGTACACTGCTGCCAGCGGGCGGCAGGAGAGGTCTGCGTGCCATGTGGGACCCTCACCGGCAGCCAGGATCGAACCTGTGCTGCAGAGGCTGCGGGCAGCTTTGCAACCCAGCGCTCAACTGCTGCGCCACCGGGGAGGCCCCAGAATGAGCTTTTTAAACAAGATTAATTTTCTAAGAGTAGTCAGCACAGAAGTACATAAATTCATTTACCTTTCAGAAGAAAAATGGACAGAGGTGACAGAAACCATTTCATGAGAAATGCAGGTGCCCAATAAAATAATAATGACAATAGTAGCAATAATTACTCTTGCCTATCATACTGGCAAAGTGTCTTCTTATTTTACTCTTTTTTTCAAACAGATAATTAAAAATGTTAATGAGCATTCAGTGGGATAGAGTTTCAGTCTACTGATAGGAGTATAAACTGATACAACTCTTTAAAAATATAATTTGGTAATATATATCAGAAACTTCAAAAAATGTTCATATGCTTTGACCTTAATTCTGTTTATAAGAGTCTGTAGCAAGGAAGATATCAGAAATCCAGAGAAAGAATGATTTGTAGGGATATTTACAGTGGTATTATTTAGTAAAAATAGAAATAATGATTGGCTTCCGTGCAAGTGCAAGTTTGATTATTATTGGTCTTTGTAGACTTTAAAGTCTGCCATGTTCTCATGCCACTCTGTGACTGGTAACAATACAGATTAATTTCTTGTATCTTAATGTTTATGATCAAAATATTCTATAAATAACTATAATAGAACAATCAATTGTCCCTAAATTAATATTGCCTTTATGGTAAAGTATATACAACTACTGACTAGCCCCAGGGGGAAAGGATGATTTTTCTATCACTTTTAATGACTTATCATTAAGTTCATTAGTGCTTATATTGCTTATTTTTAAATTACCTTTGTTTCTGAAATCCAACACAGATCTTAGAATGTGATAAAAGGGCAAGTCAAAATTAAGTATAGAAATCCGTTCACTTACTTACCTTCCCTTTGTCTGAGAAAATACTTTGGTTTGAGACAGATTTCAAAACTCTGAATTTAAAGATTTGCTTTTGACTGATACTACACAATCTCATCCATTAATTTAAATTATAATAAATATTAGACTCTGTGATCTCATTTATTCCTAACAATTATGAAATCACTGATTCCTTATCATGAAAATGTATCTGTCTTCTTTACTTCAACATTACCTTTTATGTGACAGCACTGCTAGAGGCTCTTCATCAATATAAGATCTGGATCTGTCAGCATCCTGGAGTTCTTAACCTGGCACATGTTACACAAATAATTGAAATACACTCAGCAAGACACTGTGAGAGCAGGGAAGGAGAAGCAATCCATCCTTTTAGAAAAGTGAGAGCAGAGAGGGAGAAGCAATAATTCCTTTCAGAAAAGTGAGAGAGAGCCTTCTCCTAAAGTATTAAAGAGATTTTGAATTTTTTGATGAGTTAAAAAGTTTTAACAGGTAAAACAAGAGATTCCTGACAGAAGCAACAGCTTGCAGAAACAAATTTTCATATGGGTCACATTGTACTTCAGAAGAGAAGTATTTAATCTTGAAACATGTTTGTTTAAAAGAAACAAATTTGATGTTTGTTTATCTATATGTATCTTAGACAGCAGAAGAGAAGAACCTTCCTTACTTTTGGTTCTAAAATGGGGAGGAGAACTAACCCCTGCTGGTAGGGTTCAAGCTGAAGAACTTGGAAGAGCTTTCAGGTGTATGTATCCTGGAGGTCAAGGTAAATTTTGAAGTTTCTTTTATTCGGTTAAATTCATGCTGCATATTTTCATATCTTTGTTTCTTTCTTTAAATATTTATAGAAATACAGTGAGATAAAAATATAGCTTAAGTGATTTGAGGATTTATTTTCAGGAGATTATGCAGGATTTCCTGGTTGTGGTTTACTTAGATTACATAGTACCTACCGTCATGACCTCAAAATATATGCCTCTGATGAGGGACGAGTCCAGATGACTGCAGCTGCTTTTGCAAAGGTATAGTTAAATGTTTCTTAGAATTTCTAGAATTTCTATCTATTAGTGCATTTGAAAGATTTTTACTAAGGCAGTTTAAAAAATTACAAATTTTAAACTTCCAAATAAAGTCCTGAAATGACAATGGTAAGCTGTATTATTATAAAGTTTATTATAAGTAATTAGCTTATACTTTATGAAATTCAGCATATAACAAAATTATTATTATGGTATTTTTTATTTTACATACTAATTTTAAATCTATGTTGGTTTTATTTAATATATTTAGGGGCTGTTAGCTCTAGAAGGAGAGCTTACTCCCATTCTTGTTCAGATGGTTAAGAGTGCAAATATGAACGGCCTTTTGGACAGTGATAGTGACTCTTTAAGCAGTTGTCAGCAACGCGTAAAAGCAAGACTTCATGAAATACTTCAGAAAGACAGAGACTTTACTGCTGAGGATTATGAAAAGGTGGGTCCTAGTAGTCTTTTACATTGTAAAATGTTGCGCTAAATATGTGTATAAAGCATAAATTAAGAGCTTATTGTGTTATAAAGCAAATAGTTACATAATCACTGTCCAGACAGATGTAGAATATTGGAAAAACTCTAGCCCCTATGTGCCCCTTTCCAATTGCAAACCTTTCCCTGTTGCCTAGAAATAACTACTATCCTGACTTTTTATAATCTTATCATGTCCAGGATATTTAACTTGGCTCAGTATGCATTTCTAAGTACTGTAGTCTCAGTTTTGACTAATTTCTCACCATTTATGAAATTCATCCAAGTTTTTGAGAATTTCTATAGTAAATAAATAATCACTTTTTATGTGGTATTTTATGTTAGGGACTGGCAAATTTTTTTATAAATGACCAGATGGTAAGTATTTTAAGCTTGGTAGTTTACATATGGTCTCTGCTGCCTTTTTTTTAAACTATGTTTAAAAATATAAAAACCATCCTTAGCTCATGGACTATGCCACAGGTCACATTTGGTCTGCAAACCGTAGTTGTTAACCCATGGTCTTTTTTATGAATATACTTTAATTAATATATGCTCTCTAGTTGTAACAATTATATTCTATTAGATTAATAAATACTGCTGTGAATACTTGTCTGACTTGTACTGCATATAAGCATACATTTCTCTTCCGTATACTCAAGGAGTGGAATTGTAGTGACATCCAGTATACATCTGTTTCAATTTCAATAGAGAATTTCAGGCTGTTTTCCATTTCCAAAGTCATGGAAATACCCGAGAATTATCATTGTCTTACGTAGTATCCATTCTTGGTATTCTCAGACTGTTCAATTTTGTCCATTCTGAAAGTAGATGTAGTATCTCATTATGGTCTTAATATTTGTTGTCAATTTAGCCAGAATGCTATCATGTGGCTTTCTCTTTAAGTGCTTGGTCCTTTTTTTCTGAGTTGTATGTGTTTTTCTTTCTTTTTTTTTTTTTTATTATTTAAATTTTATTTTTATATTCCCCTTACAATTACAACCCCCTTATTTTGACCCCAAGCCCTCCTTTCCCCGCTCCCCACTCCCCATAGAGTGTCTCTGGTTCATAGTTGTTTGTTGATATTTTCTTTCTTATAGTTATTCTTTTTCCTGGTCCCTTATTTAAGTTTTCTAGATTCCTGCTATGAGTGAGACCATCTGGTATTTTTCTTTTTCTTTCTGGCTTATTTCGCTGAGCATGATCCCTTCCAGCTCTTTCCATGTTACTGCAAATTGCATGTGTTTATCTTTTTTTTCTTATTGAGTGTTCTTGTTTTATGTGTTCTAAATACTACTACATACTCTGAGCCTTATGGATATTTCTGGATAAGCAGAAATTCTTATTTTTCATGAATTCCAAGGTATATTTGTTCATTTTTTCCCTTTATGATTACATTTTAATATATTGTTTATAATATCCTTTTCTAACCAGAGATCATAAGCTATTCTTATGTGACCTTTCTTGACCTTCACATTTAATGCAATCCAACTGAAACTGACTCTTGTGTGTTACAAGAGTGTCAAAGTTGATGTTTTTCCTCCAAATATATGTATATCTTTGTTTCTTAGCACAAGAAGTGTCTTTTCCCCACTATTTGTACTATGGTCTTTTATCATATGTGTCTGCTGTTTCTTTTATTGATCCTTGTACCATTGAAATAGTTCCCCAAATCCCACATGATTCTCTTATGCAAGCTTTCCTCCACTCTTCTTGCATTTGCAAATAATTTTTAAAATAAACTGGACAAAAATTCAATTGGGATATTGATTAAGTTTGCATTAAATCCTTAGTTTGTGAAAATTTGCATCATTTAAAGAAATTTTATGTAATTGTAAATGGCACCTCTAAAAATTTTGTTCTCTAATTTTTGCTGCTGTGTAGAAATATAATTTATTTGTTAATATTGACTTTATATGAATGAGCCTTATTGAACTCACTTATTAATTTAATAATTTATCTGTAGGGTTTTTTTTTTTTAATTTAGAAGAATACCCAGTGTTTTAGGCCTGTTCTAACCTATCAGTAACCAGTTTTATCAGTGAACCTGCCATAAGGTTCTTTTCATGATTGCAAGATGCCCTTTAATAACCATCAGGAAACTTTGAAATAATAAAGGCTTATTGTATACAAGACCAGGAAATTACATAGCACACCTGGGTTCACTTAATGTGGTCAAGGTTGAAGTGGAGACTAGGGGAAAAGAGTGTGTATGTAAGCCAGCACATGGGCTTGGAGTCCTGCTTTTATTTGGCCCACAGAGGGAGCCCAGGGGTTTTCAGGTGCTCTTTCACTCTTTATTAGTGAATTTAAAACCTAAGAGCAAGAATTTGAAGTGTGGGAAGAGAGAATAAAAGGAGAGGGAGCTCTCAAGTCTCCTCCAAATGTGCCAGTCATCCAAATCAACCAGGTTCTGTAAAACAAAGGAGTATAAGTGGAGGAAGCCATCCTGGCTCTTTATCTATTAATAGTTAGTGACTGGCAGTGTGTTTTTTCCAGCTAGCCCTCTTTGAAGTTGATGCCTCAGCATCAAAGCTTATGTTAGGTACTTGGAATACAAAACAAAAAAACCTGTCCTTAGGGTTTATACTACACATGGGTCTTTTTCCTCCCTTTCTAATCCTTATATTTTTTATTCTTTTTCTTGTCTCGTTTAGCTAGCACCTTCAAAATATTAAAGTGTCTTTTTTTTTCTCATCCACATTCTTAAAAAGAAAGATTTCAATATTTGTCCATTAAGTGAATTTTTCGTAGATTTTTTTTATAGCTACCCTTTCAAAATAAAGGAATTCCATTTCTCTTTTGCTAGGTGTTTTTATCATGCAAAGTTATTGAAATTTATCATATTTTCATTTCCTCCATTACAGCTTATTATTTTGGAGGATGTGAAATTAACTCGGTTCCTAGAATAAACTCAATTTTTAAAGAACATGTCACTGGTTTGAATTTCCTAGTATTTTTGATTAGGAGTTTTGCATGCCACTTCTGTTTAATATATTCATAAATGAGATTGACTTTTACTTTTTTATTCTTGTTTAGGTTTTTTCAGCTGATAATATCAGCAGTGCAATTGTCTCATAAAATTTTTACGGTGCCCTATTTTGGTGGAATAGTTTGTACAATTATGTTTTATTAAATGTTTGGTAAAGTTAAGTGTTTGGTTAAGAAATCCTATGGTAGATGCTAGGGGCATTTTCTTTGCAGGGAAGCTTGTAATTATGGGTTTCAGAGAAATTTAATAGTTTTCAGTTATCAAGTCTTTTGTCAGTAAATTTATGTTCTTTTAGATGTTTGTTTATAATATCCTCTTTAAGTTCTTTGTAATGTCTGCAGGATCTATGGAGATTTTTCATGTTTGTATCATCTTACTGTCTTTTTTTACCTCTTGATCTGTTTCACCATGGTTGATCAGGTTTATTATTTGTTAATAAACTATCTTTCAGAATTACCGGTTCTGTGAATTATGAACTTGTTTTGCATTTGATTAATTTTTAATGGTTAATATTTTATTCCTTCTACTTTTGTAGTTTGTTTTGCTCTTTTTCTAGTTCTTGAACACTAATATCATTAGATAAATGCTCACCTCACCCAAAATTAAATAGATGTTGAATCTTTTCTAAAATATGCACTATAAACTAAAAATTTCCCTTTATGTAGTAGTTTGACTATATATTTTGATATTTATGCAAGTTAGTAAATTCTCTCGTTTCTTTTGTGATTTCTTCTTGATCATAGGTTATTTGGAAGTATATTTTTAAAATTTCTAAACCTACTTATTTTTCTTTATTATTATATATATTTTTAAAATATTTATTTATTTATACAAGCACTGGGTACAGTCAGAAGTGCGGGAGGATAAAGAATTCACCAGAGCCAGAGCGGGGAACAGAACAGGCAGACCGACCAAATACACTGCTGAGGGGAGCATCGGGTGAGACAGGAGACGTCTGTCGCGCCGTGTGGGACCCTCGCCAGCAGCCGGGGATCAAACCCGTGGTGCAGAGGCTGCGGGCAGCCTCACAGTCCAGCGTTCAACCTCTGCGCCACCAGCGGAGGCCCTTTTCTTTATTATTTTTATTGAATTTATTTTCTTACATTGTTGTTCATTTTTCTACAGTAATTGAGTCTCCCCTCAGGTGTAGTTCCCGTAGTTCTCCCATCACCAGAGCACCCGTGATCAATCACCATAGTCCTAAGATGGCTGGCGGACCTTGTGCCTATTTTATTTAAAACTGTACCTTTCTTTTTTTTTAACTGACATTTTAGTAAAAACAAAGATTCTTCCTGATTTTTTGGCCTGTTTTCTCTTCTTTACGGTTGTGTGTTAAAATTTCCCACTGTGTTTCAGCGGTTTTTTTTTGCCCCCAAGTTTACTTTGCGATTAATATAGCCACCACAGTTGTTTTTTTATTTTCTTTTTATTGGTTTTACATAGTATATCTTTTTTATCTTTTACTTTCAATCTTTCTGAAACTATATACTTTTAGGTATATCTCTAATTCTGAACTTCACTTTGTCCCCTTAACCTAACAAGACTCTTAAAGAGTTACTGAACTTTTCTGCTATCTACAATATTCAGGATCAACTGATGTCTTCAGTGGAAAAACTGTCTTCAATGACAGATTCACTCTGAATGACTGGCCTATAAGTTTTCTTTCCATCATTTCATACTATCTTATTACCTATCAGATACCTTAAAGCAGAGGTATAATTCTTTGATAGAATTGTTACTTACCTTATAGGTTAGATTGAGTCATACTACCTAACTTCAGCATATGATAATAAATAGTATGGTAGTTAAGAGCACCAGCACTTAGGTAGACGACCAGCTGCTTTGTCCCACTCCTTCATTCACTATTGACTTCATCTTGGGAAAGTTGCTTAACCTCTATTAAGTACCTCATCTGGGAAAAAATGACGACAATAATAGGATTGTCATATATAAATATATGTCAAGTGTTTAGAACCATACACACATTGAGTCAGCAAATTGTCACATCTCATATACAATTTTGTATATTGTTCTCTTGGACAATTGAACATAACCTCATTATAAAATATGTACTCTACTTGTTTGTAGCTTACTCCCTCTGGAAGCATTTCTCTTATCAAATCAATGCATTTAATTAAAAATCCTGTGAAGACCTGTGACAAAGTTTATTCTTTGATACAAAGTTTGACTTCTCAAATCAGACATCGAATGGAAGATCCCAAATCATCAGGTAGCTATTATGTTTTTCTTCGAGTATAAAACAAATAAGAATTTCTAATTGCTATAAATGTTTTAAAATAAGATACACTGATCTTAAGACATTAAACTTCTCATACTGTATAATGTGATGGTATGCGTTAATATGTATCCAACAAATGAACAATAGCTAAGTTATAGCATTTTATCCATGGTAGCAAGAAAAAAGATAAGAAAGCATTTAGTTATATAGTAATGCCATATAGTTAAGCAGGAAATAACTGCATTAATAAGGAGTAGACAAGATGATCTGGACTCAAAATAAAGAATAGAAATGTATCTACTTAAAAGAGATTTATTATAAATTATTGTTCTTTTTCTTATATTATTAAAGTATATAACATAGGGAAATCTAATTCCTCACCTATGTAGTTGTCACTTTAGTCAAGTCTACAAAATATGCCTATAGTAACATTTCCTAGCTTAAGAATTTCAACTTTCATATTTTAAAGACGTTTCTAACTATCAATTTTTAATATATATTCTTAATCTCACTTTTTAGTTTAATGTACTAATGATGTTATATTGTTTTAGATATCCAACTTTATCACAGTGAGACATTAGAACTTATGCTACGCAGATGGTCCAAGCTGGAAAAAGACTTTAAAACCAAAAATGGAAGATATGACATAAGTAAAATCCCTGATATATATGACTGTATAAAATATGATGTCCAGCATAACGGTTCCCTGAAATTAGAAAATACAATGGAATTATATAGACTTTCAAAGGCATTAGCAGATATTGTTATCCCTCAGGTAATTAATTCCTAAGAATTAATTTTTTTATACTAAATACTTTTAAAATGTGTACCAATGGGTGAAAAAAAGATAATTGGTTTTCATGTCCCTGTAAAACCCATAACTTTGTGAGCTTACATATTTAAGCTTTTCATTTGTTGTATTAAATTACTAAATATATTTATCATCTTATGGATATATTTAATAGATATTAAATCATATAAGACCATCATTTGATTTTCTAATGCTTTGATTTTAGGACTTCAAAATTTAAAAGTTGACACTCCTAAAGAAAAATAGTAAATTAACAAACAAGATAACTGAAAACAGGATAGAATAAATCAATTTAAATACTTATTGGGTACTTACTATGCATCTACTACCTCTGCTATAGAAATGTGTGGGGAGAGACAAACAGGGGATATTACTTTTAGTTATTTTAATAGCTAAACTAATTTTAATTTTGATAGGTATTTGTGCTATGATAGAATCAACTTTTTACTTTTTAACCAATCAGAACCCTTGATTTAAAAATGATGTTTTAAAATAATCATGGGTTCAGTGCAGTAAATAAAAACATCTAGATACTAAATTTGGTGGTAAAATTCTCTTAAAGGCACACATTTATTGAACTTGGAAGATAATTTATTTTTTTTATAATATCACTTGTTGTATAAGTCCAGTGACACTGTCATTATGTATCACCACATAAGTTTTTAAATATCATCATCTGATGTTTTAATCAATTCTTTTATGGCAGAAAGATTTTATAATTATGTATGAGAACAAGGATATCTCACAATTATTGGTCTTAGTTGATAATAACAGATGAATAAAATATGTCATTGTATTGTAGGAAAGATTTATTATAAAAGAATATATCTTTGTTGTGAATCAGAAAATGTAACAATAGCAAAAAAGTCACTTGGACATTACCAACTAGAGAAAAGCATTGCAATGTTATGGAAAATCTTTGAAGACCATTTCCCTTAGTTGTGCAGATATGATTTTTCTCATAAATGCATATATGTAACAAATGTATTCTTTGCAAAAAACAGAATCAGGAACATTATACTACTCTACAACCTGATTTTTTTTTCATTTCACTTAGCATCAATAGCTTTACATATATGTAAACCTATTATATGTGTATGTGTATATATATATATTTATTATTTCTAATGCTGAATGGTGTGATATAATACTAATTGATTTAACCAATTTCTTATATTTGGAGACCTTTATTGTTAAAAATTTCTTTCATTTTTCTACATATATGTCTTTACATGCACTCAAGATAATATTTGTAGCTCCAGGAAACTTACCAGTTTTATTGGAGATGAACAATGTATGAGAATCCCTGTTTACTCATACCTTGTTTATGACTAAAAATAAATTACCCCTAATGATTTTCAATTCCAACATTTTCCAGTCTTTCTTTTAGGGTCATATTGAGTTAAACTATTCATAAGAATTATATTCATCCACTCATCCTTTCCTCTACAAAGTTACTTGCTTTTTTCATTTCTACCAAAAAACTCCTTTCAGTTATGCTTAAGAGTTTGGGGAATAGTATACATGAAGTAGCAGTAATATAAACTAGGAATGTATAATCTTGAAAAAAGGTCTAATAAAAGTATTTGTTTCTCACAAGAATAATTCAATTCTGCACTTGCTAGAACTCTTTTTCTTTATACCTTTTTTCTAATGTCATCTATTTTCTGTTCAGGAGTATGGTATAACTAAAGCTGAAAAACTGGAGATTGCCAAAGGCTACTGCACTCCTCTAGTCAGAAAAATTCGTTCAGATCTTCAGAGGACACAAGATGATGACACCGTAAATAAACTTCATCCTGTGTAAGACATTGTACTGGGATTTGTATTACTGTGCATCCATTTTTCACGTGTCAAATGTAAATTACTTTTTAATGTTCCTATGAAGAAATCAGGAGTGTGTCCCTTGCTGTCGAACTAAGGATTACATAGATATACTTAATAGTTAGCTTCCAACCAACGTTCTTTTTTGGCTCCAAATTTTGTGGGAAATTGAGCAGAACAGTAAAAGGGGTTATTTATTGTCATTACAGGAGATTATCAGTGTGAACCCCATTCAGTAATACAAATGTCTGTGAGCTTCTTTAGGATTATGACTTTTTCCATTGCTTTTAGAGGAGCTAAAATGACCTATTTACAGTAACTACTAAAAATGACTCATCTTTGACTAATTCAGACTCCTCGTTATTTCTTATTAACTTATGTTAGAGCAAGATATACTAAGACAATTACTCACTTGTGATTGGAAGAGTTACGTATTAACTTTGGTCTTTTACTTCTAGTAAGATTGAATGCTATTTAATAAAATAATTTCAGTACTTACTAAAGTTAGGCTGTATGGTTGTTTTGACACTGTTTGCTTCTAACTTTAGGTATTCCAGAGGTGTTTTGTCTCCTGAACGCCATGTCCGTACCAGATTATATTTCACTAGTGAAAGTCATGTACATTCTTTATTATCTATTCTTCGCTATGGTGCCTTATGCAATGTAAGTAGAATAAGCTATTCCAATCTACTGAAAAAATGCTTCCTTGAATTTGTAATCAAATTGCTAACAATGCAGTTTTTATTGGGCAATTTTAGTAATTCTTTATTTACACTCTTTTGTCAGGGGTCTGCTTCATACCAAGCATTTTGCTAGAAGTTAGGGATAAAGATATATTCTCTTTCCTTCAAACAAGATAAATTTAATCAAATAATAACACAAAATATTGTTGATGATGGTATATAGACTGGTGACAGTGGGATAGAGAAACTCATGAATTAAGTTATTTAGTGGTTAGAATGGATAGGACTTGGTGTTTGGTTGGACATTGTGCCTCTAATCTACTATTATATAATGAATCATATCAAAACTTAATGACTTAAAATATTCAGTTTTTGTATTTCTCATAGTTTAGAGACTTGACTGGTTATTTAAACAGTTTCATTTAGGTATCTCATAGGGTTGTAGTCAGACTTGGCTGGGATTCAAATCATTTCAAAGTTTTCCTTTCATTTCTGATGTTGTCTGAAAGTTGGGACATAAGCTCTGGTTACTTGTTAGAACAACTACATCTGACCTCTTTATGAGGCCTGCTTCTTCAAAATATGGCAGCTGAGTACCCAGAGTGAGTTTCTTGAGGAAACAAAGTACAAGTACAAGGCATTTTTATTTTTTATTTATTGTGAAAGATTTATTTATTTATGCATATAAGAACTGGGATACAGGCCAGAGGTGCAGGGGTGTAGGAGGATTCACCAGAGACAGAGCAGGGAAGAGAACGGGCAGATTGACTGAAATACACTGCTAAGGAGAGCAGCGAATAAGACAGGAGAGGTCCGCTGTGCCATGTGGGTTAGCTCACTAGCCAGAGATTGAACTCTTGCTCCAGTGGCTGTGGATGGCTTCATAGTGGTGAGACTTTACCCCTTGCACCTCCATGGAGGCCTAAGTACAAGACATTTTAATGACTTAACTTCTGAAGTCACAGTATGTCACTTTTCCTGAACTTTATTGGTTGAAGCAGTCACAGAAATCCATCCACATTCAAAGGGGAAGGGAAATAAGTCCACTTTACTGGATGATTGGCATGCCACTATCACATTGTAAGATGCGTACTTGGAATTGGATGTATTATGGCAGTTATCTTTGGAAAATAGACTCTATCACAATATGCCCCTTGACCACATAATCCATGTACTTCCCACATGCAAAATCCACTTAACCTCTTCTCGAGTATTCCCCCCAATTTATCCTATTATAACATAAATAGGAACACATCTAGATCAGGTTCAGATATGAATGGGGCCCCTTGGATGTAACACCTGGAGTGCTCAAGAGAATTCAGTCTTAGTTCATATACCTGTGAAATGAAGAGACTAATTATCTGTCGTTCAAGTACGCAAAATACAATGATGGAATAGGCAGAGGGTAACTTCTGTAGTATATCTTTTCAAAAGAGGGGAAAACAGAAGGCATGCCACAGTTACTGGTCCATAGCAATTTTGAAATCTACCTATGTTTATGTTACTTGTTCTGTAATTAATGATTTGTTGTCCTGCCAGGAAGTTGTTTAGAATACCTCATGGCTTCACAATTTAGCATCTTGATTACTTCAGTCTAGGTGATCCTTCATTTTCCATGCTTGCAGCTGAGAAATTTTCTTCAACCTGCTCCCTACCCAGAAAAGTTTAGGGATCCAAAGGTCTGAATTTTTCTTCAAGGTAATAATTAAAAAAGCAAAGCAAAATGAAATAATTTATAATACATTGCATTAAACAAATTACATCCACAGGCCTCTTAAGGACAAGCCCTTTCCTACTTTGGACTCCCTTTGTGGCTATTATTAACACTTACTAATCCTTATTGCATTAACAGTGAGTACCTGAGTGTTGATAAGATCCTATTGATGAGGCCTAGGCTATAGAGGGGGTTTCAGATATCCTTGACTTCAGTGTAAGAAAGAATTCATGATGTTTCAGAGTAGTTGAAGTAGGAATGAAGTTTTTATTGCAAGCAGTAGTATACATTCACTCTAGAGAGTGTGGGCAGATTCAACAGAGAATCTCCTTGGGTCTTGAGACTGCTGATATAGAATGTGAAGTAGGCGCTTACACACGGATGTGGTTTTGAGCTTCTTTTGGCCAGTTTCCTTGTTTGACGAGACTGTTGAGTCATAACAGGACAAAGGTTAAACCAAGATACTTTAAATAAATAGGGTTTGAGTCATCTCCCAGAACATACACAGTTGTTTTTTAGAGTTACTAGATTGGTGGGTAGCACTGCAGTTTACTTTATTTCTACCTCAAGAGATTTTAGTCTCTTCCCTTATTTAATCTCTTATTTACTAGCCCTATGAAAACAGTGGGATGACCAAAGTTCAAATTTCTGTCCTTGAATCCTTTCCCTTTGTCTGTCCTGGGGCCCTTGTCCCATTCCTCTCTGAATGATATTTCATCCTCTTTGTTACTTAAAGGGGTAAAGGTATAATGATCTCAATATTCCGTAGCGACTTTTTGTTGAATGTGTGTGTAATCACTACCTACAGGTATAAGGAGTGAGATTCTGTCTCAGCCTGTGAGAGACAGAGATAGACATAGGGCTGTGGGTTTGGAACAGGTTAAAACCTCTGTATTAATCATTTTTGCAGATGGCTGTTAATTGTTGACACCAAGAGCTTAAACACTATTAGGAGGATAAGAGAAACTCAGGATCCTCTAAGTGAGGAGACCCAAGATAACCATTCTGTATCTTATCCCATGGACTCAACATCTCTTGAATTCTTACAGCCTTTTGGAAACAAATGGCACTAATTAATTTGAGAAATAAGGGCAAAAAATCTAAAAACATAAACATGTTCTACTAACAGTAGCTGTCGGACCTAATGAGTTCATTAATCTAGCCAAACCAATTAGAAAGCACTTTGTTTAAAATAGGTTTCTTTCTATTTTGGTTGTCAGCTGGTTCTGAAGCTCAACTCAAGACTATTGCTATTATTCATCTGTAAATATAAGCCTCAAAGAGAAAAAGTTAGAGAGAGAGAGAGAGAGAGAGAGAGAGAGAGTGTGTGTGTTTACTTTAAGGCCTGAGAACAATTTAACCATTTAGCTTCCCTTATACTCAGAAAGTTTTTTGTGTCTTTGAAAGGTCTTGAAGGACTCCTCAGATTCTCCTGAAGTCTTAGCAAGTATTTTATAATCATATCTGTGTTCTCCTGATAGATTCTTGTATTTCTTTTCTTCCTAAAAGCCACTTTTTAATTATAGCCCTCTGGAGAGACTGAGAATGAGAAACAATTTTGTTTTGATCTTAGCAAGTTTTGACTCTTGGCTCCCTTATAATTAGCAATTTCCCTTTAACTCATTTTTCTCCTTTCATAATTTATCACAGGCATTGAGAAGTCTTTTGGTGTCATTTTTAATGTTTTTCTGGGAAATTTTTCTAGGTTGCTCGCTGGGTTCATCAGATACACTCCCTCTACTGTCTACAGACTAGTTCCTGTACTTTATGCCACTAGAGTACAGGATGCTTTAGGGTGCTTCTAGTAACATTTTTCTTAACCTTTTTATAATCCCTCACCGACAACCTCTTCAAGAATCCTTTAGATTTTCACAGACACTCTCCTTATGAGGCCCCTTAACTTTCACCAACACTTTTCTGAGGCCCTTCCAGATATAGAGGGTACAAAAAGAAAAGAGAATCAAGAAAGATTCTTGTAAATTCTAACCAAGTAACTTAGAAGATGATTCTACCATTCACTGAGTTAAGTAACACTTGTGGGGAAAATGAGGCCTTAGAAGAAATGTAGTGAGTTTTTGTTTCAGATAAACTGAGTTGGAGATACCATCCATCATTAAGTGAAAATGACCAGTACTTGTTTATAACATGGATAGAGGTTTGGGTTCATATAGAGTTGGGGAGCCAACGTATTAACCACGGAGGCTATTGACAAGATTCCCAGAGAGTTTGTGTTGGAAAACATAAAATGTTTTAGGAATTGTCAGTGAAAGTGACATGTATGAAAGAGACTTAGTGATTTTCATATCCCCTTTCTTTCTTCATACGATTAAACCATAGATTACCTAGAATACAATATCACTTATGTAAAAATATTATAAAATGATCCTTTCTCCCACCTTTAAGCTAGCAAAAAGAATTTTCCTTTAACTTTATATATATATATATAGAGAGAGAGAGAGAGTACATATATCAATGTACAACCTTTATAAAAAAGTGATCTTTAAAAGAAAATTCATGCGATTTATTTTTCTCTGTTCTTTTAGAATAAAGGACTGTGAAATGTATAATGAAGACTTGGTATATGTCTCTTTATTCTTAATCTGTCTTATTGTTGGGACTTGATAAATAATTATCATCAAAGATACCCTAAGGCAATTTCAGTTTTCTGTTCCCATCTAAATTTCCAATCTATATGTTCTTTCCTGTTTGGTTTCTTGTCTCGTTAACAAATAGCAATGTGATATACCTTAGTGGAGCTTTTATAAGAAATAGTGAGTGAAAAAAATTTAGCAAGGTAAGAGTTTGTATGTCCAGTAGTAATGTTGGAATTGATTTGGGGGAGGAGAGACACACCTTTCACATGGTGCCCTTTTTTTTACGCTCTTGGATTTAGAAGGGGAGGGAACTCAGATGGGTAAAATGGAAAAACATAAGTTTGGAGAGCCAGTGCATTGGGGGTCCTAAAGGGATTAGGAGACCTTGAAAGGTTTTAAGCAGGGAAGTTAGTGACATTGGTTGATATGTAGACAATTGATAGGTAACAATTGATATGAAAACACCAGTTAGAAAACCCTCATAGTGATCCAAGGAAAGATGATATAATTTGTACTATTGTAATGGCAACAGAACTAGAGCTTATTGAGTGTATGTTGTATTCACCCCGAATTTCTAAATCAAAAGCTGCCCACCCACTCCCCGTTCTCTAGAGAAGAGAGAGAGGCTGGGAGTAAAGTTAATGATCCACCAGGCCAGTGTGATAAAGCCCCCTTAAAAATCCTAATAGCATGAGGTTCAGGATTCAGAGAACTTTCAGGTTGGTGATCACATTCACATACCAGGAAAGTAATGTAACCTAATTCTACAGGGACAGGAGCTCCTATATTGGGGACCTTTCCAGACCTGACCCCATGTATCTTTATCTGGCTCTTCATTTGTGTCCTTTATCATTTAATAAACTGATAAACATTAAAAAAAATAAAGCAAAAGTCAAACATCTACATTCTTTTATTAGCTTGTGTTTCCGGGATTTAAAATATATATATATATTACATGTATTTACTAGAATGAAAATTAAAGTCTGTAGCAAAATGATATTCTGTTCTCTAAATTTCAAAAAAATCTATTGGAATTATAATTTATTATCCAAACTCATATTATCCTTGTAAGAACCTGTAGTAGACTTACAATCTTGTTCAATCTCTTCCCAATTTTTGATTTTTCATTGCAGAATAGGTCAAATCTCTCTTTCCTTAGTAAATTTTTTTAAAAGTCTTGGTAAGGAAGAAATAGCACTGCTCTTAAGGATAGTATTCTGTGTTCTGTTTTTAAAACATGACACTATGTTAAGTTACTTTGGGACTTAGGATTAAAAACTTTTCCTTCAGACTTCAACATGAGTAAAATATTTCAAAAGATTCTTTATTTTTTATAAACTATTTTTTAAACGTTACCAGTAGAGTTGAGTACTGTGGATAAATGATTTTCAAAAAAAATTAACTTAAATTTATGTAATTTATTGACACTTAAATATAATTGAGTTATTCGAAAGGATAGTACATGTATTCACCTTGCTTGTTTGATATCACGACCATCATGAAACAAAGCAGCTAAACTGCCATAATGAAAATAAAGTGACTTTCAAATAGTGCATATACTTACTATATAACTTTTGTTCAGGAGTCAAAGGATGAGCAGTGGAAACGAGCCATGGATTATTTAAATGTTGTCAATGAACTCAACTACATGACTCAGATTGTTATCATGCTTTATGAGGATCCTAACAAGGTAACTGAGTCCTTGATGTTTTTGTTACCAGAGGTAAATAAATATCTTGAACTTCCTCATTTTGAAAAATGTTCTATAATGTTTTTTAGGATCTTTCTTCAGAGGAGCGCTTTCATGTTGAATTACACTTTAGTCCAGGAGCCAAAGGATGTGAAGAAGATAAAAATTTACCATCTGGTTATGGATATAGGCCAGCTTCAAGAGAGGTAATAAAGATAAAACTCTTCAGTGACTGGATACTATAGTTAATAGATTTTCATGAGCTTTCTGTGAGAATTTTTATTGTGTGTTATAATTATCTCAACTATTAACTAGCAAGATAGTTTAAAAATTTTAAGTTTGATTGGAAACGACATGATCTCCATACATGTCAGAATACTTACTCTTTTTGTCTTATTTAGAATTTTTTGCATATAAGCCCAGTGTTTAGAATGGATAACAATATAGTTTTTGGTTTTGGTATTGTTTTCTTGAGAACTAGTTCATATTAAACCCTGTACTAAGGATGTGACATGATTTGCTGTGTTTTGATCCTTAAAATAACCTAACAAAATTAAATATGTACTCAGTTTGAAACTTTTTTACTAAATTATAATACATATTGATAACAGTACCTAAATCATAAGGTATACCTTCATGACCTTCCATAAAATGAACAGTCTTACGTTATAAAACCATCAGCTCAAGTATAGGTGGAACAGTACCATGATTCCAGAAGACCTAATTGTTCCTCTCCCTAAACACTGCCTCACTCTGTTTTCCCAAAAATACCTACAGTCATGATTTCTAGCACCATAGTATGTATAATTTGTCTATTTTTGAACTTTATATGAATGAAATCACAAAATAAAAGTTTGTTTTGGATGGGGAGTAGATTTAACTTCTTTCATTATGTTTGTAAGATTGAACCATTCGGTTCTGCATTTCATTGCCATGTAGGATTCCATTAAACAATCAAAGTTCAGGTTATTAATCTGTTCCACTTTGATGATCATATGATTTGTTATTGCAAGCTATGAAGATGGATGCTTTTTATGAACATTCTTGTACATATTTTGGTGAATATATGTACACATTTATTTTGGATATACATCTTGGAGTAAAATCACCAAGTCACAGGTTATGTATAAGTTCAGCTTCAAAAGATAGAGTCAAGTTGTTTTCTAAAGATAGTGCTATATCTTTCTCAGCACATAATGTGGTTGGTGTTTTTAAATAGCTATTTTCGGAAGGGTATATAGTGATAATCTCCTTGTGATTAAATTTGCTTTCTCCTCAAGATCAGTAAGAATTAACACCTTTCATATATTCATTTAGATTAGCATATACTATTTATGCACCTCTGGACATGCTTTCTTTATGGAATGCCTATTCAAGGCTTTTGACCTTGAAGGAAATTGTCTGTTTTTTTCCTGCCGATTTGTAGTAGTTTCTTTCTGTGTTTTGGATTTAAGTTCTTCATCATTTATTTGAAAATAACTTTTTCCACTCCATAACTTCCCTTTCACTCTCTTACTGATATTTTTTGATTAAAAGAAGTGCTCAATATTAGTGAAGTCCAAGTTACCCATCTTTTCCTTTAGGTTAGTGTTTTGGTATCATTTAAAAAAATCTGTTTTTATTGCTTACTAGACAATGTAATAAGCATTTAAAACACTTCAATATTTTAAGTCCCTACCTCACCGTGTACATTGTTATTGTCATGTATTTTAATATGTAATTTAGCAAATGTATTTTAAATCCCACAGATCGTTATTATTGTTTATAATCAATATTCATTTAGACTTAGAATATTATAATGTTTTATAATATTGATTGTGTTGGAACAGTGTCCTCTTAGAACATATTATCATGTTTTCTTAGTGAAATAAGCATGTGTATTAGAGCCTGTGTTCCAGGTCAGTTTAGGTCTTTCTACACACTTGGCATTCCCATTGTTATTTATCTATTCCTTCTTGCATCTCTTCTTTCATCTAGTATCATTTTCCTTTCTTCTTTAATCTACAGAAATTGACCTTTTTGGATATGGTATTTGAAATGTATAGTCCAGTTTTGTTATTCTTTTCCAATTAGCTAATCCTAGCACCACATATTGAACAGTCACATCCTTTCCCTACTATATATGATAACACTTCTTATGCTGTGGACATTTATTGTGTCCATATACTGGTAGGCTTGTTTCCCAACTTCGTAATGTTCCATTCATCTGTCTGTCTCTCTCTACCAATAACAGTCTTAATTTTAACTGTACAATATTGATGTCTGGTAGTAGAAGTTCTCTACCTTTTTGAGCTTCAAGATTAACTTAAATATCTCAAGCTTCATGCATTGTTATAATTCTTTTGTGATATTCCAAAGGGAAATTTTTTTACTTTTCTTGAGATTGCATTAAATCTGCAGATCAATTTTGAGAGAAGTAACACTTTGATAGCACTGATTCTTGTAGTCAAAGGAGTTGCTATCTCTCTGAATTTATTTAGCTATTCTTTATGTCTTGTACCTTTTCTGCCAGATTAATTTCTAAGTTCTTTGTAATTTCTTATGCTATTCTGATTTTTTTCAATTCCACTTCTGTTATTGTCATACTGATTTTTAACTCATTTTTAAATTACTTATATTTAGCAACCTTACCATCTATTGTTATTTATTCTAATAGTTTATCTAGACTCATTTCATTTTCTGTGTTTGGTATTATCATCTCTGAATGACAACAATTGTCCAGAAATAAGTTCAATAGATTTAGAGTATGTGGACACTTTTATCTTTTAATCACTTATTATTAACTGTGATGATTATTTAATGTTTTTACCTTATGTGGTTAAAGGCATTTATTTTCTATACCTCTTAGTTTGATGAGGGTTTTATGTACTTCTGTTTGGCTTCTTTTGGCTAGTATGATATATGTGAGGTTTCTTGTGTAATTATATTTAGTTTCAGTTTGCTCCTTCTTACTGCTTTAAAATAAATGTTTTTAAAATATATGTGTTTTACTTTTTAACTATGCTGCAATTTTCCCACTCTATTGTAGTTGCATATAAAGTGTAATTTTTTTTTAGCTTGTCTGACTTCTATATTGTACTATGAGATGCTTGCAATTTGATACAGTATCTTATTCATTTTGTCCTGTATCACTTGCTCAGTATCATTTTGTCCTTGTATCACTGGCTCAGTATTTAATGCATCACTGAATGATAGTTACTGATACAATCATCACATTTATTGGAAATATTTATGAAATCCTTTCAAATTTATAAATTCAGATATTGTTTTAATTGTGATCAGGTTGATGCCATTCCTGTGTAATGAAACTGATCTCAGTTCTTTCTTATTGTCATTTATTGTTATTGTTTATTTGGGTATTTTATGAAATTTACTTAAGCACTTGGTTTTACCTGGCTTTTTGCTGTTATTTTTGTTTAATTTTCCACAGTGGATTTCTTGAAGTCAGGGACTCTGTCAACTATCTCACAATACTAGCTGTTGTAAGAGTTCAATTAATATTAATTCAAGTAAACAACCTTGTATACTTACTGAAAATGACAGCACTAATTTGTGGTTTAATTAGTTTATTGCAAGAGATTTTTATTTTTCCTGAATTATATATACTGTTATATTTGTCCACAGAATGAAGGTAGGAGATCTAAATTTGATAATGAGGATGAACCACATACTTCTAAAAAAGATGAGCCTGATCGAGCTGTGATACTGTTCAAACCTATGGTATCAGAGCCAATTCATATACACAGGAAATCTCCGCTTCCACGATCTAGGAAGATGGCTACAAATGAAGTAAGGATATGTGTCAGACCATGTTTTCATAAATTGAACTAACTATATTTTAATAAGACAGAAAAGAAAATACAGCTTTAATTATGGAACTTGGGAACCTAACAGATTTTGTCAACTGTCTAATTTTCAAATTTCAAAAACATGGAGGTAATTAGAAAATATAACAAAGGCCTTTCTAAGAACTTGATAAAACCAATCCATTTTTTTGTCTTGTCACTTTAGGTTATTCTTAAAGTCTGATTTAATGGGTTAGGAATAATTCTTGGTTTAAAGTAGGAAGATATTTCTAAAGATGCTTCATCAATGACTGATTCCAGTGATTGCAGATTAAGATATGAAACCATGAAATGTTAGCTTGATTCCAAAAATTAGCATAGGAATCTGAAAATTCGATGATATAGTTGAAGTTTTACCTTTTTATTAAATTTGTAATTAAATAATTTAGAATTATGCTCACTAATAGAATTGCAAATTTAAGTAGATACTGAAAGAACATTTAAAAGGGATGATCAATACTTGGAATGAAACTTTTCAAGTAAATCTTTAATATCTGTGTGTATTTAAATATTTTTATTTGGAGTCTCTTTGTAATAATTTTTCCAGCACTGATTGAAGTCAGTACATATAAATGTTTTCTAAATGCTCAAGTAAAAGTATAAGGCCAGATTTAACCTTTTAAACTTTAATATAGAACTAGCCATCAACTTTCAAGTAAAAAAGTATTTTTTGTTTACAACTAAATATGCCAAGTCTTAAGTTAGGTTGTTTTAGAATAACATGGCATATGAAAAAAAAAAATTATGCTCATTTCTGTAGCCCCAAATTGAACAAACTTCAGTACTTTAAGATTCTCAAATTTTAAATATGTGTGTATCCCAATTTGACAATTATGTTTAGGAAAAGTCCATTGACAAAATAGGTTGTTATAATTTTATATTGGAAATTGTATAGTAGTTACTGTTCCTGTGAATGTGATATTTTAAGTTAATTATAAAAGAGAATGATAAGTATTTATAGATTTGGGGATTATTCTATTAAAGATTGATTAAAATGAGTAATTGGGGTTATGTTCAGGTATCCTTAATTTCAGATAATTGGGAAATGACATATATTAATATAATGGAAACTACCACTTTGTGTGGGGCAGTGATTTTGATGTTGTTGGACAAAGCAGTCTGCAGTTAGTCAGATTGTTCAGAATTTCATCATTAAACCCTCTCCTGCTTTCCAAAAAAGCCTATAACACTCATACAGCAAAATGTTTTGTGTGTCTATTTTGCAATTCGCCTATTTTTATAAACTCTTCAACAAAATCACTGCCCTTTGTTGGCCCTTAAAACACAGAACAGATTTATAAATCTTTTTCTCATAAATAGTTGCTTTCAAGAGATTATTTCTATGCCATGCTAAACTTTTACTTCTACAAGGTAAATTATTCAAGTAAAACCTTGAAGACTTTTTCCAGCGTCCACCACCTCCATGGATATCAGAAGTTTGTACTTCCAAAAGACACACAGAGAAAAAGACTATTCTCTTCATTTTGTGCAAGTAGATTTTACTCTGTCCTCACTGTCTGAAACCTGAACATGCAAACATATAAAATAAGAATGTTTGCTGCATGTTTTGCTTACTGAACTCTATTAGTAATTTTTGGAGGGGGTAAACAAATAGATAACTTGAAAAGTGTAAGCAAGTATAATTTGGATCCGTCTTATGAGTCTGATTTTTTTTTTTTTTTAATATGTGGCAGAGAGATTTCCTTTTCTACATTATATACATTGAAAACTCTTTTAACTCTGTATGATTATTTAGTGCTTTGGGTTGAAAAGTGTGCCCAATATAGCATAAAACCTTTGATTATTTAAAATTAAGCAGAATACTTTAATATTTTAAAAATTGCTAAGCTAAAAAAATTGTTAAAATCTTTCCAATGTTAAGAGGGAAGGGACAACTATTAAGCAGTATAAATATCTTGTATGATTAAGATAGTAAGGTAATCCTCATAATTGTTACCATGTACAGTTAGATTTATGTTATGTTATTCCTATCAGTTTTCAAACACTGAAATTTGGCTCCCAAATTACTGTTTAATAGTTTTTTAAAAATTGATATGCAAATGCAAACAAACTGTATTTTTTTTTCTTTCTGATCATTTGGCTCTGTTGTATCTAACTTTGCATGCTCTGCTTTTTTTTTTTTTTTTTTTTTTTTTGCCCCCTTTCTCACTTCCAGGAAGAGAGCCCCCTGAGTGTGTCTAGCCCAGAGGGTACTGGTACCTGGCTGCATTATACCAGTGGTGTGGGTACTGGGCGTCGAAGACGCAGATCAGGGGAACAAATCACTTCTTCCCCTGTCTCCCCCAAATCATTGGCTTTCACATCCAGTATTTTTGGCTCATGGCAACAGGTTTTTACACTTTAATTCATTAAACATTTTTCCTCCCTGAATTCAGAGCAACAAACAGCTGTCTTTGAGGACATCTAATCCCTTATATTTTACATTAGAGTAAATCCTTCTGTTTTTTAATTTTGAATTCATTTTAAAGTGCTTGTGATGTCAGACATTATTTGAGGGACAGAAACCACTTACATTGCATGTTTTTATCATTTTTACTGGGAGGTTTTAAATATCCAGGACTTTAAAAATAATGAGTAAATTTTACCCTCCTGGAACTTTATTCCTCCTGGAATATTTTGTAAAAATAAAGAAATTTTTATTTGACTCAGTTATCCTTAAAAGTATTAAAGAAAAGAAAACCTAGATAATTTGATAATAAAAAAATTCATAACACCCCCCTGTATTTGAAAAAATGAGATTCCATTTGGAATTTGCTGAGAATGGGAACTTTTCAAAAAATATCCAAATTTTTGTGGCCCTGTGTTAATTAGCAGAATACATCTAATACTAATTGTTCTCTCCCTCCCATTATCTAGAAGTATCTTTAGGGATACATACAGTGTGGATTTTCTCAGTTGTGTAATATTTTAATGCTCTCTTTGAAATAAGAGGTGATGAGCATATATATGCCCATCAATAATTTGGGTCAAAATAAAATTACTTCAGAAGGACTTTCTGTGATGGCATTTGGAAACTTAAAATACTCTCTTTTTTTTTTTTTTTTTTAAATCATTGAAAGGTCTGCTCTTAAACATGACTTTTCGGAGAATTTCAGCAATTTCCTTTTGGAAATATAATGCATTTAATTATAGGAAAAGGGATTATGGTATCCATTAAGCTGTGACTATTAAAGGTTACTCTGATAAATCCCGTGCATGGATCAGTAATTGTATGGTGATCTCAACAGTCTCTGTCTGTCTTTTCTTTTGTTTGTGATTGTTTTTTCCCCCTTCAAATACAGGAGCTGTATAAGAGTGGGCATTTGCCTTCTTTTAAGAGTGTGAAATTATATCAATCTATATTAATTATTTCTTTCCATCTGTCTTGTTTCATACATGATGTTTCATTCTGAATGCCTGCTTCGCACCACTTCATTGCAAGGACCTCATATGAAATGGACTCCCTTCAAAAGGGGATCTTGCATGATCTTTCATGTTTTATGTATTTCTACTAATATTTATCATACAGCTTATTAACCTTTGTCTGTCTGGAACAGGCTGCAAATGAAGTATGGACGTTTGGATTTATTTTACCATTTTATCTCATTTATTTTTCTTTCCTCATACAGGTTGTATCTGAAAATACTAATTATCTGCGAACACCAAGAACTCTTGTGGAACAGAAGCAGAACCCTACTCTAGGTATGTAGTCTAAAGAAACTTGTATTCCAAACCTTCTTGAGCACACTATTATATACATGTAAAACTTTTCAGTGGTGAAAGCATGACCAAATGCTATGCTTTAGTTTTTATTTAATATATATTAATTCATAAATTTTGAATTGTGCAACTCAAAATAGACAATAAAGTTGTAAGAAAATGGATAAGAAATAGTGTACGTTTTGTTTTTATAATCCTTTTGAATGCCCTCGATATAAACTACTTAGTCAAATTGTCAATGTTGCTTTTAATTTTGACTTCTGTATGTTGAAATGCAAACAAGTTTTGAAAAGGAAACTTTATTTTTTCCATTTAATTAAGATAAACATACACTAATGCATATAAGAAAGAATCATCTGCTTTTCTGATCAAAAAATATATTTTTATAAATAAACCCTATGTGGGCATATATTCCTTTTGAGCATCTTTTCTGAAAAATCAAAACACAGTGGCAGTTATACTCTACATTTACCTATAGAACAACGTAGGTTCTTTGCTAACATTCAACCAAAGCAACATTGAAAAGGCCCTTTCTAAACTTACTTGGACTTATGTTCATTGTTGATACAATGTGTGAGGTAATGGCATTTTATTATTGTCTAAATAAGTTCAATAAATCACATACAAATTTCAATAATTTATGTACTATGAATTCTATACTAAATACTTGAATTGTCCATGGATACCTGCATACTTAAAGATCTTTCTTTAGTTGAGCATATATAGCCTTTGTTGGTACCTTTTCATGTTCCCATAGTCTCTTGCCAAAAATATCCATATGTGTTATATGTAATATGCATGTATTATATATAAAATGTATTATATATAAAATGTATTTTATACCACACATACACACTATCCCTTCCGTTTGGTGGACCATAATGTATTTAATAGAAATTTATTTAATCCTCACCTAGTGGTAAGAGTTTTACTTGTATATAAAAACTTTTGCTACAAATTACACATGAGTTTATACTATCTGTGTTTCATTTGCTGATAACGGATTTTATTGGGGTCTTATTAAGATCTTAAGTCATTTAAGTATTAGAATTTAAAGTGATTTAGGCCTCAATGACCTAAAAGGAATTGTTTTCTCCTGGTCTTCTCACAAATAAGTAAGCTTTGATTTACTTTATTTCATAATAAAGTAATAACATATTGATAGTTATTAATTCAGGGGCATTAGGAATGATACACATTTACAGACATACGTTCAAAAATATTGATTTAATATGGCTTAATGTATGCTCACAGACTTTTTTTTATATGGCTGTCTAATGCAAATTGGTTGACAGAATCCCTTATCATCTTAAATTCATTTTCATGGTAGTCTTTTTAATAGTTTTAATATATATGTCTAGTTACTGTTTAGGCATAATATTTTCCTCCAAGACAGTATTTTTTTCCAGTGTTAAATACCCCCGGTTGTACATATGATAAATGGTGGTGATGATTATATTAAAGTTGACTTTACAAGCTTATTGTGAGTCTGTTCAAGATACTACCAAGTATGTTTGGTAAGAATCATGTTATTGCATGCTGCATGAATTCCCAATGTGAATGGAAGAACACCCGTTGTTGTATGTATTTTCTCTAACTCCCATCAGGGTCTCACTGTGCGGGCCTGTTTAGCACCTCGGTGCTCGGGGGTTCTTCAAGCGCACCTAACCTACAGGATTATGCTCGTACTCATCGTAAAAAGCTGACCTCTTCTGGCTGCATAGATGGTATGTGCACACATGCACACACAGACTCACACCTACACTCATGCACACACCCATGAGCACACAGTATTTCTCAAAGGCAAATCTAATCACTCACTGACTCAAGTGGATTCCTTGTACCCTTTGCCTAAATGACTATTAGTGTTGTGTTATACCCAGGTTGGATCCATGTTTCATCAAACAGCATTTAGAGTAGATTTATATTACTTGTTCAATGAGGATTTTGTTGAAATAATGAAATTTAGAACTGCATCGTGTGTATTCTTCTTCTAGATAATGAGCCATACTATAAAGAATAAAACTTTATTCGATCTTTAAAACTTTTGTTCATTGTTAACCCTTATTTTACTTACTGATATTGATTTAAGTGAAGTGAACAGAATGTTTATAAGTAGAAGAAAATACCGTGTTGGTGATATTTTTACAAAAGTGAACAGAAGATGAGAGTATTTTAGGATCCCTAATTGAAGGCGATCCTTTCTATTGTTAATATACCGAGTTTTTAATATTCAGAATGTCTTCAGGGGCTCATGGAAGCGTGCTCCTTTTGTTGACAGAGTATTTATTAGCCCTTTCAGGATTAGCCTCATTTAAAACTTTTTCTCATATCTCTACAGATTTACTTTAGTCGGTAAAACATAGATTTACCTGATTGCCAGCTCATTCTGCTTCTCTTTCTTTTGTATATTTCATCAACATTTTGCCTTTATCATCAAGCCATATCAGTTATTTTAACTAGTATTTGGCTTATTACCTTCTCTCTTTGTGCCTTCTGCATGTCACCTAATTCTAACTTCCTTTTATATTTGTTTTTCCCCTCTTTTTTTAAGTGTTCTTCTTTTGGTAGCTGTTGTGAATTTCAGGTACCTGTTTTTCTCTTTCTCAGACGCCACACGCGGTTCTGCTGTTAAAAGGTTTTCTATCTCATTTGCTCGACACCCAACCAATGGTACGTTTTGCTTTTATTTTAAAAGATACTCCCCTGCTTCATCCTTTTTTATTTTTCTTTTATTTCAAAATGTGGGGTATGCAGTATCATTCAGTTCTGTGCCCTTAATTTTGGTTGGCATACAGTTCCAACTTAATTGTTCTGCCGAAGTATTGATACTGTCTAGCTCCTTCTTCTCACCTGTAATTTACACAATAACTTAATACTACTCATCAAACTTATAAATGAACACAATGATGAGTTTTAATTATAATTAAAAACTGTAAATTCCTTGTAATTTCTCAAGTGATCAGTCTACAAATATTTTAAAATTACAGCAAGTCTTTAGTTTCTTCGTTATTCTTGGTGATTTTTTTTCCTGCTTGATTCCTTTTCTGATCACATGGTTTTTTATGGAGCATTTAACAATAATATAGAGGCACACTTGTCAAATAGCAAAATGAGATGTGTCTTTTAAAAAGTTCTTGGCAACCAAGGGTTGTAGGTTTCACTGTGTAATATCATTCATCCCTGACTTTTTCTAAACCTCACATGGTCGGTAACACTCTGAAAACTTCATTTAGCATTCCAGCATTCTCCTAGTCCATGTGGCATTTTTTGTTAAAATTTGGGTAACTCCTCATAGGAAGAAGACTAAGGTAAAATCTAGAAAGTCATAATCAATCTAGTTCACTCATTGAGGCTGATGTTTGTGGCCATTATTTATAAATTGAATTGTACTATTACAGCTTTCTCTCACAGAGTGTGTTCTTGTTGGACAAGAGCAAGTATTTACTGATCATTTAAAAATAGTTCATGACCAAAGAATTTATAAGAAAACATTTTTTTTGCTTTTATTCAAAATGAAGATATTTTATCCTTATAACTTTTTCTTTTTAATTGCAAACAAGTCTTTCAAACAATCAGGTTTTTCAAAAACCTTTATCAGACTAAAGATCTAAACACCAGTGTTTAATTGTTCTCCCACTTCCAGATCCTTTAATAGCAAACCTAAATAAAAATGCACTAACACTTCTTGAAGGTGTCATAAGAAGAGCTCATCCTCAACAACAAGTGAAAGATTTAGCCTTAAAGCTTAATGTGCTTTTCCCTCAGTAGCTGTTTTTCTTTGAAGAAAAAGATCCTTATTTGATACAGCTGCAGCTTCTAAAACCAAAGTTGAAAGAGAAATGGAAGTCTCTAGATTAGAAGATTCCTTTTAGGTTTAAGACAGACTAATTTTTATACAAAATGCTTTTGTATGTATAGCCAGTTAGTATAAGTTTTTAATAAAATAAATCTGTGTTTAATGGAGATTTTAAAAAGACATTTATTCCATTTAACAGAGAATAGAGTAATTTTATATTTCTTTGGTTTAAGCTTTGAAAAAATAAATGTATTTTTCACGTACTGTGCAACTTAATGCACTTAAAATACGTTTCTTTCAACACTGGATATATTTCTTTGGGGTTTTCAAAATTTCTTTTTTCTTTTTTGATACTGTGTTGTCTTATCTGTCCTATGAATTGTCATTTGACCCTTTCACTTTTTATTTCTCCTAACTTTCATGTTATTTTCACCTTAACACATATCTTGGACTTATCCCTGCCTTCATCTTTAGTTCAAGGAACATGGTGAAACAAGTATCTTCTGACAGTGCTTTACCTTATTTTCTGGGCCTCTGTGCAGAACACCCACACCTCTATAGGTGCTGGTCCATTTCCTCTGTGGAATTTCTAGGCTCCAGTGGTATGTTTTTCTAGCTCCTGAACATGACAGCAGGGTGGCTTTTTAAATTGCTGTGCTAACCCTTTCATTGTGCATTAAAGAGAACAGTTACTAAAGATAAATAAAAAAAGCTGTAGCCCAGAGGAACTTGATTGTATGTCATTTGTCTGCCATGAAATCTTAACAGACAAATACAAGAAAATAATTGTTACAAATGACTTATAAACATTCTGAGGAAAGGATGTTAAGTTTAGTGTAATGCAAAGAAAGGGTTTGCGCTTATTTGCATGAATCTTGTACTTCAAATAATTATAATTATTGTATAAGCCTGATTTCTTTAGTGCTTAACTTAGGTGCTTTAGCTGCTGTTATGGTTTTATGGTTTTATTGTTTTGGTTTTTTTTAAGCATTTGAAATATTCTGTCATTCTTTGGTTTGCTCCTGAAAATCAGATCTAACAGTTTTATAAAAACATTTGGTATTTTCATAGGAAGATTAGGTTCTCTTTTAAACAAAGTTTTCCTATTTTGCCTAAAAATCAGGCAGTTCGTAGGTCACTATTTTCCCCCACAATTGAATACATCAAATAAGTACTTGATGTATTTAGTTCTTGTTGTATGTCATTTTATAAAATGAGCACATGCCTACTGAAGTAGAGTTTGCCATTTATTTGAGTTTAATAGTCACTTTTTAATTAACAATGTTAATCTTTATATGAAACTTTATGTATGAAACGTATTTCATTTGGAAGAATATTAGTTTGAATTTTTGAAAGAGTAAATACAGAAAGACTTGTTATTCTAATAGTGTATAAAAGCAATTTTAAAAGCCATTCAGTTGAAAAAGTTAAAATAAACAGGCAATTTTTATTTTAAAAAACAACTTTATCCTGTTTGTTTAAAAAAAAAAAACCTATGTTTAAATGCTTTTGTTTCATTGATGGTGTGAATACATAACTGCATGGTTTGTTTCATGAAATTTTTGTATTTCTGTGCCATTGTTGAATGCAGATGTATTTGTATTCTGTATTGTGTTTTACTTGGCCTGACTACTCAGGTGACAGCTTCCAACAATAGAATTATTATGTTAATTCTTAAAGGTATGTGAAATATGTTTTAGGGTTTTAATTCCAGCGTAAATGAATGAATGTTGTTTGGGGTAACTGAGTATAGTTGGCCTCGGTATAAGTAGGAAAGTATTTAAAATTACTCTTCACAGTTATTTACATAGTTGTTTTTCAGTAAATTACCTTTAGCATCCTGGCACCAGGGACACATCATGGCATCAGTTTAATCACCTATCAAATAATCCTGATTTAAAAAAAATAAATGCTGAAATATTATATTTTTGTCTATCCTGCTCCCGCCCCGATTTTTTCTTTATTATTTTTAGATTTTACCAAAATATAGAATGAAATTGTGTGCATGCTATACTATGTGATTACATTTAAATGAAATCTTTGTCACATCTTGTTCCAACCCCATATTGCATAGCATCTGGTGTCATGACTTCAGAATATTATGTGTTTGCATGTAATAGATTAAAAAGACCTAAACTTTCTAGTTCTAAACAATGGTCTTCCATTTTAATTAATTACATTTTTAAATGTCCAACTTTTCTTTTCATTTTGTTTTTTTCCCCCCAGGCTTTGAGTTGTATTCCATGGTGCCATCTATTTGTCCTCTAGAAACTCTTCACAATGCCCTGTCTTTAAAGCAGGTGGATGAATTTCTTGCTTCCATTGCTTCTCCATCAAATGAAGTTCCACGGAGGACTCCTGAAATTGGTAGGAAAATTTACCTTCATTTTTATTCATTTGATTGTTGGGGAGGAGATATTATCAAATATTAAAAAAAATATGAAACCATACAAATAATGGTAGTACATAAAATTTTAGAAGAGAAGGGGATATAAATGAACATTTGGATATTATTTGGACAATATTCAAGGTACTTCTTTTCTTGACTTCTCCCAAAATGCATTTAACTTACAAAATGGAAAAAAATCTAAGATCCAGCAATAGAAGTCAACAACATAATATAGAAATATGGTCATTTTGCCCACATTCCTATTATATGTTATTTTATAATGAACTTTAAAAAATTAATAAATTATGTCTACATTAATGCACACATGCCCATTCCCTCACCACTTTTGGTCAATAGTCATATTAATTCAGAAAATGCTGTTGGCTAAAGAGAACAAATTATGACAGTTTTTCAAATTGTGTGCTCCAGAAAATACACTAAAGAGATTAATCTGTGTGTGTAAAGAAAAGGGGTTCAATTGCCATGCTAAGTATATTTTGGAAATTATATGTTATATTGTACCATCCTTTGGAGAGATGTAGTTACATTAGCATATCTTGTAAGGGTCTTCTATATCCAGATATTCCAAAACTTTTTTTTAGAAAATACCTTTTAAACTTTAATTATATATTTTATACATAACTCCATAATATTATAATCTTGAAGGTAATCATCATAAAATTTTTAAGAAGATACTTCACATTTTTCTTTTCTGAGCTAAGTCTTTAAAATCCATGTATTTATAGTTATAATCTCCTTGTATTTCAGTTTACAACACTGTATCTGATTAAGAAGTATAGGTTCATACCTTTTCAGGTGTATTTTACCACACTACAGTCACCAAGATACTTTTCTGGTAATACAATTAAGCATACAGCAGTATCCTGTGGCATATCATTTTGGAAAATGTTCAGGGCTACCATTTTAAATGTGAGAAGTTAGCTGACTACCCATTTTCAACTATGTAAGATCCTTCACCATGTTGGAATTTCCAGTTTGAGATGTGTTAGTTTTGGAAGAGAATGTTCTACTTAGAGTTAAGAATCTTGCTAGTACTACTTATATCTTAGGAAAGTTCCAAACTTTCTATTATATCATTCTCCTGTTTTAAAGGAGAACGTTGTAAATATATTTCTCCCAAGAACAAAATCGGAGGTCTTGGAATGAAAGCCACTTTATGTCTTGTTATTATCTTCTTCCCTTTCCTGGGTTACCCCATTATTATTACTATAGAGAACTCAGTCCACAGTGTACTCTCTCCAGAGACGCCCCTTATATTTCTGCGGTACTATGGTCTTTCTTGTTTCTTCTACTTCTGTAATAGAGGCCAGCTTTCAATCATCAATGGTAATGGATAGGTATTTTGGTTGAGGTTCTAAAATATGTCACTTGGGGAGTGGTTTTGGGAAGTAGGGTTTAATTTCAAAATTTGCATGTGAATGTCTGATGCTGAGCATTGATGAGATTCCAAATGAAATCACTTCTCCAAGCTGTGTCAAAGTCAGGGATTTCAAGGATGTTTGTCTCCTTTAGATGATAGAATAGGCAAGATTACGCCTCAGAATGTAAGAGAAAACCTAAATAAATTCTCATTTACCCTTTTACGCCTCTTTATACTTTGTTTCACTGCTCCCTTGGGGCAGGAATTTGAAATATTAAAATAAAGATGAAAGAAAGATTCTACTGAGTGAATAAAAACTTAGGGGAAATAACAATGCTATTGAGAATTTAGAAGATGTAAAGTGAATGACTTAAAGATAATAACAACAGTGATGACATTTGTTTTGGAAAGAAAATCTTGGTGAAATATATACAAAAAGACGGGCCTCCCTGGTGGCGCAGCAGTTGAGCGCTGGGTTGCGATGCTGCCTGCGGCCTCTGCGGCGCCTGTTCGATCCCCGGCTGCTCCCCGGCCACCGGAGGAGGGTCCCACATGGCGCACAGACCTCTCCTGCCGCCCGCTGCTCCCCTCAGCAGTGTACTTCGGTCCTTCTGCCTGCTCTCCTCCCCGCTCTGGCTCTGGTGAATTCTGTCACCCTCCCGCACTTCTGACTACTGTACCCAGTGCATGTATAAACAAAACAAACAAACAAATAAATAAATAAAACATGCCTCTATAAAAAAAAAAGAAAGAAAGAAATATATACAAAAAGATAGTCTTTAAAGATCTGTTCTCTGGTGCTATAATATTATAATGACTTCATTTCTGTGGTTATTGAATTCATCAGAATGTATATACAATTAAGGTACATTAAATTCCTTTTTCCCTTCTAATTAGCTCGTCTCTGTTTCATGGCTGCAAGTTGTATACCCCGATCCCTTCAGCTTTTTCTTGAGTTCATGCCATTTCTTAATAAGGGAACTAGATGAAAAAGTAAAATTCACTGGTTAGTAGAATTGAATAAACTTTAGAGATGATCTAGTTCATTGGCCTTCAAACTATATTCCCAAGAACATTTGGACTTCTGCCAGTGGAATTTATATTCATTGAGTGAATCATCAACCATATAAGACACATTTTCCATAATTGGCCCACATATTGATTTTTCAGAGATACATTATTTATTGCTATCAGATTCATCCCCAAAATTAGCACAGATGGACTAATCTATTTTTATCTCCCTAAATCCTCTTGTTTAGGAACCCATATACTCATGTTGCCATTTTTCTCACTCTGGCCTATCTTTTCGAAAGGTCTGAGTATTTAAGAATTATCCCACTTTGCTTTTCTACCTCAGTTTCCTCACCTTGACTAGAAAATGACAATCCCATTCCTGAAGATAAATCTGAACTTGGTGCTATAGGATGACAATGTGATTTATTTAATTACTTATTATCTCATTATTTTATTCTGAATCACTACTTGTTTTTTTTTTTTTTTTTTGATAGAAAAACAATTTGGAACTCTTTGTTGTCTGTTTCCAGGCAATAAAACTATGCCATCAGCTCTCTGCCATCCCTTAAAAATTTAAGTTTCTATCAGGGAAGAATACAATTAAGTGTGCTGCTGTATTCTTATTGGTATTCCTCTGGTAAATACTGGTAAATGCTTGTTGTTTACAATATAAATAGAACAGTTATTTGACCAGGAGTACAAGAAAACTTTATTATAGGAAAGACAGTTTTACAGAATTTATTTTGTAGGCATTATCTATTTTCCCCTATTATATGTATTCATAGGACCACTCAATTTGTCATAAGAAAATTGTTAAAGTGAGACTTGGATGTAAGACATAAAACCATAAAGTACATAGAAGGAAAAAATACATAGGCACATTATCTTCTGCGATCTCTTTGTGTATTCATCTCCAATGGCAAAGAGAATATAAACAAATGGGATTACATCAAACTGAAAAGCTTCTGCACAGGGAAAGAAGCTATCGATAAAAAGAATCCCTCCTGAATGGGAGAAAATATTTGTGCATCAGACATCTGACAGGGGTTGATTCCCAAAATTTGCAAAGAAAAGAAAACAAACTAGCCAAGAAGTCATAAACTCAACAAAAAGAAAATAAAGAACCTAATGAAAAAATGAGAATTAAAGAAGCACTTCTCCAAAGAAGACATACAGATGGGCAACAAGCACAGGAAAACATGCTCATCGTCACTTATCACGGAAATGCAAATCAAAACCTCAATGAGATACCACCTCACACTTGTGAGAATGGCCTATATCAAAAAGACCAGAAACAGCAGGGGTTGATTTGGAAGGTACAGAGAAAAAGGAACCCTTGTACACTGTTGGTAGGAATGTAGACTGGTCCAGCCCGTGTGGAAGCAATGTGGAGGTTTCTCAATATAGTAATAGATCTACCATATGACATGACAATTACACTCATAGATATCTACCCAAAGAATGCAAAACACTAATTCTAAGGGATATATGTATTCCTATATTCACTAAAGCACTATTTACAATAACCACATTATGGAAACAACCTAAGTGCCCAAGGACAAATGAGTGGATTAGGAATATTTGGCATAAATACACAATAGATTACTAACTACTCAGCTATAAAAAAAGACAAACTTTTGCCATTTGGAATAACATGAGTGGAACTAGAGGAGACAATGCTAACAGAAATAAGTCAGGAGAAAGAAACACTGGGTGGTTTCACATATATGTGAAACAGAGAAAAACAGAACAGAGTCCAACAGAAGCAAACCAATAACAAATCCTAGAAATCTGACTAGAATTGAGGCTACCTGAGAAGGATAGAGAGCAGGTGATGGAGGGGCCCAGTGGACTATGGTGGGTGCCTTGGCATGGTTACGTACATTTGAAGAGTTATGATCCTATGCCTTTGAATCATATAGAGTTTGTAAAGCAAAGTTACCCCAATTAAAAAAGAAAATGTAAAGATAGACTTGCAGGATATTATTGAATTACCATGCATATTTACTTTGTTTTTCAGCCTCTGCAGCTTCCCGTACCAGTCCAGTAATGAGAAGAAAAGTATCTTTAAATACATACACACCTGCAAAGATCCTCCCAACGCCACCAACTACCTTAAAGTGTGCTAAAACAAGCAGTAAACCAGGTTAGGAGTGTGTGAATTTGTTAATTCTGTGTAGCAATTGGAGTAGTAATACTTTTTAAATGTAAAATCTGTTTTTAAGGAGGATCGTTATATTTCCTTACAGTGTAAAGAATAACCCTAAGGTTCGAAATCTTATTTCTGCCTATTGAAATATTTGTATTTTTTCCTCTGTTAATTACTCCCCTTACCTCCTCTTATCTATTATAAAGTATTTCATACTCATACTTTTGTCCAAATTAATTTATGAACTATTTTCTCTTCTTATGCTTTTCTATTTAGCCTAAGCATCATTTTAATCATTTTATATAAAGATTTTTTTCCTGTTTTGTTACAGCATTTAATCTCTCCATTCTTAGTGTGAATATAAGATTACTAAATTTAGCTACTTTTTATCAGCTTTTTTTCTTTTTTAACTTATTTGTATTGTTGATCATTCCAGAAATGTTCTCTAATCCTGATGTTCAATCAAAATATTATTCTATCTAGGTGTTTTTAATATTTCTCTGATTCTTCTACTTTTCTTGTTTTTGAGGTTTCTTCCTAACTTGCTATCCCAGACGGGCATTCACCTATGTTCATTTTTCTCTTAACCTACACCTTTTTTCTTCAAAGAATATTTGCATAGTTCCAAGGCTTTGGCTGTATCCTCATTGAAAATATCTGTATTCTTTTCTTCTTTTTAATGCTTTCATATATTTTTTGGTTAAAAGTTTATGCTGGGAAGTCAAAGGGACTTAGATTAGAATCTCAGCTCTGCCATTTATTAGTATATGAACTTGGGCAAGTTAACCCCTCTGATCCATGGTTTCATGGTCATAAAATCAGAGTAATAGTACTTCTTTCATAAGGCTATCTGAAATGAATACAACAGCATATATAAAGTACTTGGCACATGTACTAAACACTCATTAAATGTTAGCTGCTATTGTTGTCGTTACACCATAGCAAATATGTCCTCTGCCACTCCCCAAATAAATTCCCCTAGGACTCATGTCATTTCTTTGCTTTCTAAGATGTTCCCTCTCTTACTTCCTAATTTTCAAAGTCCAACCCAACCCCTCTATTGATGTTATATTATATGACTATCAAAAGAAGAATTCCAATGACTGTACTACTCATTTGTTCTACCTACCTGATCATAGCTCTCTCAGATTACTAGGACTTATAGGTCAGGGCCAGATTTGAACCTTGTACATTCATTTTTTAAAAAAAGATTTTATTTATTTTTGCGTAGAAGAACTGAGGTATAGGACACAGGTGAGGGGGTGAGAGGATTCACCAGAGACAGAGTTGGAGGGGAGCAGCAGGCAAGACAGGAGAGGTCTGCTGCTCCATGTGGGTTAGCTTCCTGGCCAGGGATCGAACTTAGGCTGCAGCGGTAATAGTGCTGAGACTTAACCCCTAGGCCACAAAGGGGGCCCTGAGACTTGTACATTCTAAATCTGTCCATGCAACTATAGAAAACTGAAAAAGTATCTTAAATTAAAATAATTAATTAAAATGAAAAAATTTAAAAAAAAATCCCATTTCCCCATAGTTTCAATAAGATACATTGTTAAATGATTAGAATTTTTACCAATGTGATAGGATAAAGGTAGTATTCTAGTATGGTTTTAATTTATATATCTATTTTTATAAATAAAGTTTTGAGCTTTTAAAAAAAAAAGTATCTTAAAAGTGAATATCAACAAGCAACTATAAACCAGAGACACACTACAGGGGGAAAGGGTGGAGTAGGATCAAAACAAGGGGGTTGGGAATTGTATGGGGACTATAACGAAGCTGAAAATGCATACATTGTGCAAAAATGAAAAATGATGTAAAAAATGTATAAAATAAAAAATTGGGGTTTGGATAGAATGCAAATTTATACCCAGAGCCAAATTTTTTGGAGGAGTCAGGAATTAATTTGGAAATCATTTTGTTCCTATGCCTAGAGATAAGAATTTATTAGTTAAAAAAAGTTTTTTTTAAAGTGAATTATGAGGTGTTCCATATATACTCAAAGTTAACTCTTTTGTAGTTCTTTCTCTATATAGCAAAGCACTTTGTTATTCTCATAGTTTTTAACATAACCTTAAGAGGTTATGTACTCTTTTTTTTTTTTTTTTTTTTTTTGGGCTTAATACCATTTACTTTATTTTTTTTTTTATTTATTTTTTTTTTTATTTTTATATTCCCCATACAATTGCAAACGCCCCATTCTGACCCCAATCCTTCCCCTCCCGCCCCCACCCCCAAAAAGTGTCTCTGGTTCATAGTTTTTTGTTGATTTTGATTTTTACTTTCTTATATTCATTTTCCTGGTCCCTTATTTAAGTTTTCTAGATTCCTGCTATGAGTGAGACCATCCGGTATTTTTCTTTTTCTTTTTGGCTTATTTCGCTGAGCATGATCCCTTCCAGCGCCATCCATGTTGCTGCAAATTGCATGTGTTTATCTTTTTTGAATGCTGAGTAATATTCCATGGTATATATGTACCACATCTTCTTGATCCAGTCATCTATTTTTGGGCATTTGGGTTGTTTCCAAAGCTTAGCTATTGTAAACAGTGCTGCTATAAACATAGGGGTGCAGGTGCTCTTTGGAATTAATGTTTCTGTGTCCTTTGGGTAAATACCTAGGAGTGGAATTGCTGGATCATATGGAAGCTCTATGTTTAGTAGGTCCAGAAATCTCCACACAGCTCTCCACAGTGGTTGGACCAGTTTGCACTCCCACCAACAGTGCACGAGAGTTCCTTTTTCTCCACACCCTCGCCAACATTTGTTGTTGCTAGTTTTTTTAATATGTGCCATTCTCACTGGTGTAAGATGGTATCTCATGGTAGTTTTGATTTGCATTTCCCTGATTGCAAGTGATGTTGAACATTTTTTCATATGCCTGTTGGCCATTTGCATTTCCTCTTCAGAGAAGTTTCTTTTTAGCTCTTCTGCCCATTTTTTGACTGGATTATTTTCTTTGTTGTTGTTGAGTCTCATCAGCTCTTTGCAGATTTTTGTGATCAGTCCTTTATGTACTCTTAAGGTACTATTGCTATGCCCATTACATAGCAATAGTAAAAGGAAAGTTGCAAGGTTGTGATATCCATAAAAATGTAATAAATGGAGTTGTATTTGACTTTTCAAATGTAAATTAAGCCAACCTTACATTCTGGTGATGAACCCTACCTGGTCATGGCACATGATTTACATATATATATCTTGATGTAGTGTGCTGTATTGAACATCTTCACACCTGTATTCATGAAGGTTATTGGTCTCTTGTTTTTTGTTTTTTTTTTTTTTTTGGTAACATTTTTGAAGTTTTGATATCAGGATAATTCTGGACTCATAAAATAATTTCCTATTGCAGTTAATCAAAATCAACAAAAAACTATGAACCAGAGACACTCTATGGGGGGTAGGGGGCGGGAGAGGAGGGATTGGGGTCAAAATAAGGGGGTTGCAATTATATGGGGAATATAAAAATAAAATTTATTATAAAAAAAAGAAACATCCTTGTGCATTGCTAGCAGGATTGTAAAATGGTCCAGCCACTTTGGAAAACAGTTTGGTAATTCCTCAAAATGTTAGACATGGAGTTATACCATGGAGCAATTCCAAGAGAAATAAAAACACATGTCCATACAAAAACGAAAAAGAAAAAAAAAAAAAGGAACATACAATGTATGTCAGTCTTTTAAATGTGAGACTTTTTTTTTATGGCTTAACATTTGAACTTGGCATATTTTAAGATAACAGGTATACTTGGGCCTCTATTCTCAATTTTCAGTTAGTGGTTATTATAGGGATTATGCTTAAATTACTTTGTATTTTCAGAAGTTAAAGATACAACTGGCATAATAGAGAGCTTGGAATCACCTCCCCTAAAAACTGTTATTAAAAAAATATTTTTGCTCAAAGGAAGACCCAGAAGTTCTCCAAAATAGTCCCAGCACTACCATAAAGATCTTGAATTAGGGTTGGTGGCTGCTGAGGGGAAGAAGTGGGAGCAAGCAAAAAATAGCATGGCTGGAAGAGTAGATATTGCATTCAGTAGAACAGGCTGGGTGTCAGCCATCCAGGACAAGACAGGGCACATGGGGCATGTGAAATTTCCTCCATGAGCTTTGCATACGTGAGGGTACTGGTACAGCCTGGCACACTGGGAACTCTGCCACTGATGTGGGTAAGTAAAGTTAGGCCTTTCAGTGGTTCTTTCTTTATTCCAGAGATTTCCTATATATTTTTTCAGTATCAGCATATTTTCCATTGTTTTTGAGCATAGTTAAAATAGTTGATTTAAAATTCTTGTCTGCTCATCTGGCTGATGTCAAGATTGGTCTCTGTCACTTTACCTGTTCTCAAGAAGAAAAATGTTTTCCTCTTTTTTCATTTATTGAATAATTTTAGATTGTACCATCAACATAGAAATTCATAGAAATTCTGGACTCTTTTGTTTCAGTTATGTTCCTTTAAAGGGATTTGGTTTGTTTGGGTTTTTGTTTTTGTTTTTTTTAAAAAAAGCAGAGTTAACAACTTGACTGAACTCGATTACAAAACTGTGTCCCTCAAAGTGGTTAGTAGCTCAAATTTCACCTCACTTCTTTTAGCCTCAGCTGAACCCCTTGGATCTTACTCTGTCATACATTTTATCAGGATTTGTTGAGCTCTCTCCCTTTCTAGGATATGCCACCATACTTTCTAGCAGCTACAGTTGCCCTAATATTTGTCTTCTGGTTCTTCATGCTGGTAAGACTTAGGGGTTTTCTTGTTGCAATTTTAGACATTCCACAGATAAAGACTAAATATTGTCCTTAGACCAAAGGCTATTAAAAAACCCATCCCATGTTGTTCCTTTCTTCCAAGTGTTGAATCTTTTCCAGTGTATGCCTGCTTTTGTTCCATCTTCATTGTGTTTAGGTGGTTGTTTTTCAAATTTTACCTGAGCTTATACTTACTATCTGGTCTGAGTACTGTTCTAACAGGAGCTTTCCCATCCCTGCCAGTCGGTATAAGTCTATTTAAAATAGCTTTTAAATAACTCATTAAAGGCTTGGTGTTAGTTTGGATAGTGAAGGATTAGCCCTAAGTGAAAATCATTTCTAGTTTTCTAACCTTTTAGCTTTCTGGATAGTGATAATAAGAAATATAGGAGAAAGTTAGGAAAATGATTAGTTCAGTTTAAGACAAGTTAAGTTTATGCTTCTTGTCAGATATCTATATAGGGATTTCTAGTTTGATATTATAGGATATATATTTTTTGATGTAAGGGTAAAAGCCCTGGTCCAGAAGTGTAAATTTGAAGATTGTTGGCACAATAGTTGGTAGTTTAAAATAATAGAATAAATTCTTCCATTTTCTTCAAAAGAAGAATACAAAGTTAAAAGATAATTGGTTTTGGTGAGCAGTTCACTGACAATTACTTTTCTGAATTGACACTAAATTCTAAAAAGTAAAAGTTCCCCCAAAATGCTATATTAAATGTTTACAATGTATCGTTTACATTGCAATTATAACATAAAATGAATAATTTTGTCACTCAGCATTCTTATTTGAATTTAGAGTGCTTGTGTAAATCTAAACAGTATTTTTTTTCTTTTTTTTGTATAGCTACCAGTGGACCTTCCAGTGCAGTTGTTTCTAATACCTCATCTCGAAAAAAGGGTATAACTAGCAAAACAGAAACGCATGATCACAAAAAACCTACTGGGAAAAAGAAATGAAATCCTCTTAGCAGAAGCAGAACTCCTTATATTTAAGAAAATGTCATGCTAAGTAGAAAGTACATTTATTTATTAAGCCTTGACTGGAGACTGTCAAAGCAAGTAATTTATGTTTTTCCCTTTATATCTCTGTATTCATTTAAAAATATGTTAAATCTGGAGAATTCTTTGTATGTATTCAGATAAGGAACTTTTGTTATGATCTGGAAATGATTATTAGCATTTTATAAGTACCAAAACTTATGGTGATAAAGGTCTGTCGTTTTAATATGATGTTTACCATGTGCCTGTGTTTTCTGAAGAAAAGGAACATGAAAGCCCAGATATCCTGAACTGGTGTCATAGTGTAAAGCTATTTATTAAAGAATCTTTAAGGTGACCTCTGTATACTTTCATTTTCAAAGGATTTCATCTTGGCTATAAAAACCTGTAGCTTGGATTAAAATTTATAGCTGGGATTACATACTGGGAACTTTTAAAAGGTATATTTCCCAAGATATTTCACTGACCATTTAGATTAGAAGCACCCCTGCCCCCAGTTGTTATAATTACATATATGCTGCAATATTTAATAACTGGAGTATTAGCATATTAGCATATGGGTTTGTTTTTTTCAATCTGTTCTTTGAATTTTTTTATTTTGTGTTATTTAAAATATTACATACATATACAGCTGGGATACCTATACCTTTATGCATATAAATTTGTATGAAATAATTTCTTTATCTGTTTCCTTACCATAAGGTGCTTCTGCTCATCAGGAAAATTTTTGCTTATATTGGCAAGAAAGATATCTTTAGAGTTTCTTTTAAGAGCTATGGTTGACAAGTTCATAAATGTTATACTCATTTTCTGAGTTCTTTTTAGATCTAAGGAACTCAGTTCAAAAATGGAAATCATCAATGTGAGAAGAATATCTCAATTCTATAGTTAGTAGGTATTATGTGTCACACTGTTTTTACCATTTCCATTTCTGTCTCTAAGTGTATCAGTTGATCTCACCAAAAAAAGCTTAAAGATTGAGCATTTGAAATAAATGGACTTCTCATATGATTAGATTTTTGAAGAGAATTGATATCATTGTGTTGTGATTTCATCTTTGATGTGGAAAATATTTATTATCCTTGGTGCTTTTTTTAACCCCTGATGCACAAATAATTATGCACTTGAAATGACTTAAGCTATAAAGCAGACTATTCAACCTGTTAAGAATTCCATCCATTGCCAGTCAGGTAATTTAAATTGCTAAAACTTAGCTTGAAGCTTACATTTAGAAAAATTAATAAATTCTCATATGAATACAACTTTTAAAATTCTTCAAGAGACTCTCCTGACCATCATATATGAACTGACTTTTAGAAGATAAGCATATTACATCTTAGTTATAAAAGGTACCAGATGCAACAGTCATAAGTATGTATGTATAATTGTGTAATTCGTATACTTCTCATGAATGTAAGTATATTATACAGTGACATGTCTTGTAAACAGTTAAATGTTCCTAAGCTTTCTGTATGTGAAAATGTGGTTAATATGTTCATTGTGGGAGTAAGAAAGCTGCTTTTATTTTTTAAGTGAAACTGAATTAAAATATTTTATTTCCAGAATCAAGAGAGTGACTTTATTGGAAAAAATATTTTTCATTTATTCTTTATCTTTCCTTTTACTTTTAAAGTACAAAGAAGAAAATGATTTTACTTTTAAACAATACTTATTTTAGGTGTTAAATAAAATTTATTACTGGCCATATACATCACAGTTATTGCTTTCCACAGAAAGCAGGGGTCACTTGTGATAAAGATTTCAAGTAGAGGGCCTCCCCTGCTGGTGCAGCGGTTGAGCGCTGGGCTCCGCAGCCTCTGCAGCGCCAGCTCAATCCCCAGCTGCCAGCGAGGGTCCCACATGACACACAGACCTCTCCTGCCGCCTGCTGCTCCCCTCAGCAGAGTATTTCTTCGTCAGTCTGCCTGCTCTGTTCCCTGCTCTGGCTCTGGTGAATTCTCTCACCCTCCCGTGCTTCTGACTGTACTCAGTGCTTGTATAAATAAATAAACAAACAAACAATCTTTAAAAAAAAAAAAAAAGATTTGAAATAGAAACAGCTCTACTTTATTTTTTTTAATTTATATATTTTTACATTGTTGTTCATTTTTGTACAATGTTTGATTTCTCCTCAGGTGTTGTCCCCATAAAATTACCACCATCAAGACACCCCTGAACTGTTACCATAGACTTGTGCTCTTCCCTGCCATTTTGATCCCTCCCTCCACCTCCTCTCTAAATGTCTCCGATTTATAGTTTGCGTGCTAGTGTTTTCCCCTGATCCCTTCTTTGGTTTCCCTGTCTTCCTCCTGTAAAGTAAAATCATCCAATGTTTTTCTTTTTCCTTCTGACTTATTTCACTAAGCTTAATCTTTTCCAGCTCCATCCAGGTTGCTGCAGATGGCGTAAGCTCATCTTTTTTGATTGCTGAGTAGTATTCACGTTGTGTATATATGCCACATCTTCTTGATCCAGTCATCTGTTTTTGGACATTTGGGTTGTTTCCATATTTAAGCTATTGTAAATAGTGCTGCAAAGAACATAGCAGTGCAGGTTTCCTTCTGAAGTAATGTTTTTGTGTCTTTTAGGTAGGTTCCAAGAAGTTGAATTGTTTGGTCATATGGTAGATACATTTTTAATAATTTGAGGGTCCTCCACACAGCTTTCCATAGGGGATGTACCATTTTGCATTCCCACCGGCAGTGTAGGAGCGTTCCTTTTTCTACACATCTTCGCCAGCATTTGTTGTTAGTTGTTTTAATGTGGGTCATTCTTACTGGTATGAGGTGATATCTCACTGTGGTTTTGATTTGCATTTCCCTAATTATAAGAGATGTTGAGCATTTTTTTATGTGCCTGTTGGCCATCGGCATTTCTTTGGAGAAGTATCTTTTTAGCTCTCCTACCCACTTTTTGCTGGATTCTTTATTTTGTTTTTGTTGAGCTGTGTACGCTCTTTGTAGATCTTTGGTATCAGTCCCTTATCAAGTTTGTGGAGTACAAATATTTTCTCCCAATCTGTGGAGTGTCTTTTTGTCTTGGTTACTATCTCTTTTTCTGTGCAGACATGCTTTTTAGTTTTATGTAGTCCCAGTTGTTTATCGTTTCCTTCATTTTCTTTGCTTCGGTGATGAGTCTTTAAACATGAATGTCATGGAGTGTTTTGCCTATGTTTTCTTCGGAGGATTGTGTGGTCTTAGGACTTACATACAGGTCTTTTATCCATTTTGAGTTGATCTTTGTATATGGTGTGAGATTGTAGTCTAGTTTCATTCTTTTGCATGTAACGGTCCAGTTTTCCCAGCACCATTTATTGAAGAGACTGTCCTTGTTTTATTGCATATTCTTTCTCCATTGTCATAATTAGTTGTCATATATGTGTGACTTTATGTCTGGGTTTTCAGTCCGGTTCTGTTGGTCGAAACAGCTCTACTTGAACAGGATAATGGGTAATAGGATAATGGGTACCAAAATAATGCCATATAAAGTTCTATTATATGGGTTGGTTTTTGTGGAAGTTCTAACCTCTGTTTTAAGAGACTAGGACACTATAAAGTGTATTATTTTATACTATATCAATTATGTCCCTATTAACTGTATTGCTTGGATTTCCTATAACCTGCTTTCCTTTCATCTGTGCTTAGTAATGATTTGAGAGAAGTAAAATCAACTTGTCTTTTTTGATCACTGAATAGTATTCTATTGTTATATATACCACATCGTCTTCAATCCATTCATCAGTTTTAGGAAATTTAGGTTGTTTCCATACCTTGGCTGTTGTAAGTAGTGCTGCAGTAAACATAAGGGTGCAGGTTTCCTTTGAGTTAGTGTTCGTATTCTTTGGGTAGATTCCTAGTGATAGGATAGCTGGGTCTTACGGCATATTTGGTGGGTCTTACATCCATATTTAGTGTCATGTGAATCTCTACAGCTTTCCATAGTGGCTGGACCAGTTTAAATTCCTACTAACATTATAAGAATATTCCCTTTTCTCTACATCGTACATAGTCAGCGCTTGTTTCTGTTTTTTTAAATATGGGCCATTCTTACAGCTGAGGTGTATCCCGTTGTGGTTTTGATTTGACTTTCCCTAATAATAAGTGACAATGAACATCTTTTCATGTTTGTTGTCCATTTGCATTCCTTCTTTGGAAAAGTGTCTATTTAGCTCTTCTGTTTTAGCCTTTTATCTTTCTAACCCACAAAAATTGGCAACTGCAGAGCTATTCACATTTTCGATTTCTTTCTTCCTCTCTGTCTTAGCTACAGACTGCTTCTGTAGATGTGACATGTCCGTATTTCTTTCTTTGCTTTTGCCTTTCCTGCTACCCTGGAAATAGTACCCAGGAAATCCCCCTTTCTGACACTTACCCCATACCTGCTGTTTCAGATGAGGAATTATCTTTGCCCCTCAAATTATGCCATCTATTTAGTAGGAGTCTTTTGGTCTAATGATTTTGAGATGAGGAGCACAAGCATCCGCTTTAGGTATGTTGCTGTTTACCTTTACTGCACCTGTCAACTTTTTCTCATACTGTGGTTGAGGTTACAAGTGTCCTAGTTTTGTTGAAGACAATTTATATCTCTGTTTCACAAGTGAGGATACATTTTTTTAATAAAAAGTGATTTCTCTATGATTTTAAAAGGGGGGCATCACTTCTGTTTTGTAATTATCCTTTCACAAGGAGAAGGAAGGGAAGGAGAATGAGGAAGAAGCCTGTGTTTCTTTAGACTACTCAATACACTTAATTTTTTTAAATAAACTTAATACCCCCAGTCCTGCCTTCAGTAAAATGTTCTGGAATCAAATGAAATGATATTTTGCTAAATTGTAAAGAGAGGAGCAAATTTGAAGCATGATTTGTATTTTTTTTTCTTTAATGGAGTTGTATGTAGTCTAAATGTCAACGAGGCCTCTGTTTTCAATAGTATTTCAGCATTTTTGCAGTCAAGGATGTTCTAGACAGCTCCTAAAACTCTTTTATTATTGCTTTTGTTGCCATGGGAACAGCCTGCCTAGTAACAATCTGACAAACAAAAAAAATGAAAAGAAAATCAAGGTTATTCTGGCATCTTCCCCCTTTGAAAAAATCTTTAAAATAAAGCAATACAGTCCTTCTTGAAGCAGAGCTTAAAAAAAAAAAAAAAAAAAAAAAAAAACCACAATATTTAACACAAAAAAATCAACCTGCCCTCCCACTCACTCATGTCATATTGTGTATGGTATGAATGACACAGTTGTGTGACCCTGATGGGATAATTGATGTACAGTTTAGATACCCACTTTAAAGTACTTAGAAGGATGTATCTCAGTGAGGAAAGTGGGCTACTTCTTTGTAATTCTATGTAAGTTTCTTCAGGAGTACTTGATACATGAAGGATGATTTTTGAAAGAAAAAAAAAACAACATGCCTTCTAAAAGTGTTTTGCTGCTTTTTAAAAACCGTAAGATTTTTCTCAGACTAGTCAATGCAGAATAGAAAGCCCAGTAATGAAGGAGAATGTTTTGATGGGTAGAAAAATAAAAGCGTGAAGGAGGGGTGAGACAGACTAGAAACACAAGTTCTACCATTATAAAAATTCACCATTGCTGATGTGAACAAAAGAAAATTGAAACCAAATAAAGTCTGTCTTTCCACTACACATAGAAATGTATAATGCCTTTGTTCAAAATACAGATAATTATTAAAATGAGACATGGGATTCCTAAATGTTAGAACATCACAGTTTTGTTTAAATTATTCTTTATTGGTCATCCAAAAACTTTTTTGAAAGTCGCATATGCTATACCTACCTCTCAGTAGGATAGATGGAAAGAGCCACACATAATGGTACTCATATTGGAAGGCTACAGAATCTACTCAGGAAAATGCATTCACTTAAAAACCTGAAAATTGAAAGATTCACGCTGAAGAAGAATTTGGAGTCAATTTAGAAATGCTGTAAGAAACAATGAAGGTCCATCTTGATGTCATGTGACTAAAATCCCTCATGCTCATTCCACAGGTCAGGGAAAAGGACAGAGCACAGAATAGAGTCTTTAATTCCATTTGTTGGCAATGAAATTTGTGCATTTAAAAACATAGTGTGCTGCCTCTTTGTAATGGTTCTTGCCCCGTTTTTCAGAACCTCTTCAGGAAAGAGCAAAGTCATTTTGCTCTAATGGGTAGAACAAGGGACAGAGAGAAGGGAGACATGGGTGGAAAGCTTAGTTCTGCACTGGCTCTCTGGGGAAACAGCTGGGCTCTGTACTTTCTGGACACCAGTTCTCTTGCCTACATGTCTGTAGGGCTGGCCCGAGGCTCCCTCATCCCAGAACTTGTTAATTTGCTTTTCCTTTCCTTCCTTCTCAGAATTCTAGAACCTAAACTAGTCCTTCTGCAATCTCTAGGTCCCTCTTTCATCATAGTCAAAAAGTGTTTCTTGAACAAATATCTAGGTAGATAGCTTAACTAGAAAAAAAAATTAGTGGTGGTAATTCCCATTACCATGCCCTCATGCTCCCCAGATGCTTTTTGAGGAACTTACTTGGTTAATACAGTTAACACTACAATATA